CGCATTGGTTGCACCACGCCCAGTGCTCCGCAGTGGACAGCGCCCATTGGCTGCCCCTCCCACTGTGGGGCGGAGCTTATGGGGGGGCGTGCCCTCGGGCCGGTCACGTGCAGCACCGCCCGGTTCCCCCCTCCCTCCGGACGCCCCGGTACCGACCGCTCTCCGGTCACTCTCAGTTCATTTAATGGCTGTGAACGTTACAGGCCTCGGGGCCCCCCCGCACCGGGACCAGGCCCCGGCACCGGCGGCAGTGGGGGGCAGTGTCCATACACAAGGCTCCTGGGGGGGGGGGGGGGTAAAACACAGCCCCAAGACCCCCCCCCCGCCCCGGTGCTGTCCCGGGAGCCTCCCGCACCTTCCCCCGGTGCCGGCCCGGGCTGTTCCAAAGCACCCCCGGGGGGGGGCGTCAATGGGGCATGGCCGTGATGCGCATGCTCTGCGAGGCGATGGGGTAGGTGACCATGGGGGTGGTGGCGTGGCTCATGGTGATGCCCCCCAAGGGCTGCGCCATGGACACGGCCACCGGCGCCACCGAGACGGCCACGGGCGCCATGGAGACGGGGGGGGCCATGCCCTGGGCGATGGTTTGAGCCAGGGCGGCCGAGAGCGGCGCGATGTCGGGGTTGAGCGGGGGCGGCGCGGCCGTGGCCGGCGGAGCCGCCTGCGCCCCGGCCGGAGCCACCAGCTCCTGTTGGGCCACGGCGCGCGGCTGCAGGGCCTGGCTGCTGAGCGTGGTGTGCGTCTGCGCCATGCCCGGGTTGAAGCTGGGCACGGTGCCCACGGCGGGGGCCAGAGTCTGCTCGGTGGCGGCGGCGGCGGCGCTGGAGCTCAGCGTCATCACCTTGGCCTGGTTGCGGAACTGCGCGTTCTGCTCCAGCAGCACCTCGTTGGTGGCCAGCAGGTTGCTCACCTGCTTCTTGAGCTCCTCCACCCGCTTGCGGAGCAGCGCGTTCTCCTCCTCCAGCAGCCGCTGCTCCACCGTGGGGCCGCCGGCGCCGCCGAAGTCGAAGGCTTCGAAGTGGAGCCCGTCGCCGCGGCGCCGCTTGAGCAAGGGCTCGTGCTCGGCCTCGTAGAGCCCCTCGAAGGCCTCGTAGCGGCGGGCGCCCGGCTCGAAGTCGCGCTGCAGGTGCTGGAACTTGCACTTGGCCCCGCGCTGGCAGTCGCCCTTGAGGAAGTCCCTGCAGATGGGCACCTCCTCCTTGCTGTTGGGGAGGTCGGCGGGGGAGAGGCCCAGCCCCGCGGCCACTTTGTGGCGCAGGCGCGGCGGGAGCTCGCCCGTCTTCTTGTAGGAGTCCTCGTCCTCCTTGGAGCCGTGGATGAAGCGGCAGCTGAGCCGCACGCACTCCTTGTTCTGGAAGTCGTGGCAGAAAATGAACTCGTTCTTGCGCACGCCCAGGTTCGTGACCTCGCTCATGTCCGGGTGCCGGAACCGGCACCGCTTGCCGCGCTTGCAGACGTTGCGCAGGAAGTCCCGGCAGATGTCATCGTCCGGGCTCCCCCCGCCGCCGCCGCCGCCGCCGCCGCCGCCGCCGAGGCCCCCGCCTCCGACACCGCCGACGGCTTCGTCCCCGCTGCCGCCCGAGGGGAACCCGTCCCGGTCCGGCATCGCGGGGCTGCGGGAGGGACGGAGCGCGGTGAGGGTCCCCTCCCGGACACCGTACCCCCGCCGCCGCGTCTCCATAGCGACCGCAACCCCCCGCCCCCCCGCTCCCCTCCCCTCCCGGTTTTGTGCCTCCCCCCCTCCCCTCCCGTCCCGGTCCCGGTCCCGGTCCCGGTCCCGGTCCCGGTCCCGGCCTCACCCGCCCGCGGCTCCGCCAGCGCCAACAATGAGCGGCCCGGTTGCGGCCGCTCTGCGCCGGGCCGGAAGCGCTCTATGGTGCTTCCGGGGCGGTGCGGAAGGACGACACGCGCGGGGATTGGCGGAGCGCAGTGACGTCATGAGCGTGCGACGCTGCCGGTAAGCGCGGGCGGTCCCCGCTCGTTACCGGACGTTCCCACACTGACTCCAGCGGTGCCGTGAGTCCCGTTCACTGCCCCCCCCCCGTTACGGGCCGTCCCCACAACGCCGCCGCCGTTACCGGAGCCCCGTCCCGGTACCGGACGTCCCCCCATTACCTCCTCCGTTACCCTAAGTCCCTTCCCTCCCTTCCCTGTTACCGGAGCGCCCCCCGTTGAGGAACGTCCCAACACTCCTGCCGCCGTTACCGGAGCCCTGTCCCGTTACCGTACTCCCTTCACTGTTACCTGATCCCCCCGCCCCCGGTTAAGGCACGTCCCAGCACTCCCGCCGCCGTTACCGGAGCCCTGTCCCGTTACCTTACTCCCTTCACTGTTACCTGATCCCCCCGCCCCCGGTTAAGGCACGTCCCAGCACTCCCGCCGCCGTTACCGTACCCCCCCGCTCCGTTACCGGAGCTACCCCCGTTATCGTTAAGTCCCAGCACTCCCGTTACCGGAGCTCCTCCCCGGTTACCGGACGTGCCCCCATTACCCATAGCGATAAGTCCCATTGCTGCCTTTCCCATTACCGGAGCCCCCTCCCGTATACCGGACGTCGGTCCCCCATTACCTCCATCATTACCGTAAGTCCCCTCGCTGCCTTTGGCATTACGGAAGCCCCCTCCCGTTACCGGACGTCCCAACACCCCCCTCCCGCTCCCCGCCGCAGGAACCACACGCTCGCTGTCACCACCAGCTTTATTCACAGCACAACGGCAGCCGCGCGGCCCCGAGCGCACCGGGGGCCCCGGGCCGGGCCCTGCTCCGCGGCCGTTACTTGGATCTCTGCCTCATCTTCCTCCGCTTGCGCTTCAGCCTGGGGAGGGGGGGAGCCCTCAGCGCCGGTACCGAGCCGGGAGGGGGGAAGCGGCGGCCGCGGCCTCCCCCGTGCCCCGGAGGGCCGGGACCGGGGACCCCCGGCACGGGACGAAGGGAAGGGGGGGGGGGGTCTCTACGTACCTGCGCATGCGCTTCTTGCGCCACTGCGGGAGCAGAGAGAGGCGCTCGTTAGTGACCGCTATCGCGACAGTGACCCCTATCGCGACAGGAAACCCGCCCGGACACCGCCCCCTCTCCCCCAGTGTACCGGTAACGCGCTCCCGGTGCACCGGCACCCCCCCTCCCCCGCTGTCAGCCCATCTCTGCACCCCGCTCCCGCCGGGGCCCGGTCGGGGATGGAGACCGCCCCCCCCCCCCCCCGGGGCAGGCGGAGCCGCCATCGGCCGCCCCCCGCCGCTCACCTTGGCCCTCATGGCGGGGCGGAGACGCCGCGCTCAGTCCCGGCGGGCGGGCGGCGGCGGGGCCGGCGGATGGCGGCGGATGGCGGCGGATGGCCCCGGCCGACGCGGCCACGCCCCCTCCCCGTTCATGGGAGTTGTAGTCCGCCTCCCTCCCGCCGCCATTTTGCGGAGCGCTGGGGGTGAGATCCTCCCCCTGCAGCCCCATAGAGCCCCATGGAGCGGCTCCTGCGGGCCCAGCATTCCCGTTGGGAATGACGGGGATTGGTCCTTCCCCCTTATGGTCAGGGTTAATCCTACATCCATCCCCAGGAGCAGGCATGGAAACCCCATGGAAAACTTGCGGAAGGCTCATTGGGAATCCATGGAAAACTCTTGGAAAACCATAGAAAACTCATGGGAAATCCATGGAAAACCCGTGGGAAAACTTCATGGAAAACTCACGGAAAACTCACGGAAAACCCATGGAAAACCCGTGGGAAAACTTCATGGAAAATCCATGGAAAACTCACGGAAAACTCATGGGAAATCCATGGAAAACCCGTCGGAAAACTTCATGGAAAACTCACGGAAAACTCATGGGAAATCCATGGAAACCCGTGGGAAAACATCATGGAAAATCCATGGAAAACTCAGGGAAAACCCATGGGAAACTCATGGAAAACCCGCACCAAGCGCCTCGTTCATTCTCTTTTATTGACTTTGGTTCAGATTTGCACGTCTGGAATTTGGGATGGAATCCGCAGCGATGAGGAGCGGACGCACGGAGCCCGGGAATGCTGTGTGCCCCCCCCCCCATAGACCGGGATAACCGGAGCCGGAATTCAGCTTTGTCCCTGGTTTTTTTTCTCTTTTTTCCAGGTTTTTCTGTAAAAAAACGCTATAAAAGAGCGATTCCCCCCCACCCCCCCCGTTCCCATGGGAAGCACGGAAATCCCGCCGGGAACCCCTTGCCGGTGCTTACAAAGGAGCCCGCCACAGACCGAGTACAAAACCAGTGTTTATAGGGGAAAACCGAGGCTTCCAAAGGCTTGGATCCCAAAGGCTGGAGCGGGATAAGGGCACCCCCCCCCCGCCCCATTCCTCCCTTCGGGATGGGGCCGATCCCATGGGATGAGGGGACACAGAGCGGCTGCAGAGGGGCTTTTATTACGCTTGCCGGGCTCGGAGCATCCCTGCCCTGGGAAGCACCGGGATCCCCCCCCCACCCCCTGCTTGTGCCTTGGTTCCTAAGGGACAAACAGGGCCGGGGGGGCCGGGGGGCGCCGTGGGGCAGGAGCTGCTCAATCGCCCGGCTCCGGCTCCTCCGCTCCCTCGCCCGTGGTGGCGTTCTCGGCGTTCCTGGAGGCCTGCGGGGAGAAGGGCGCGGATGGGGAGCCCCTTCCATAAGGGGGAGGATGGGGAATCCCTTCCCATAGGGATGGGGAGCCCCTGCCATAAGGGGAAGGATGGGGAATCCCTTCCCATAGGGATGGGGAGCCCCTGCCATAAGGGGGAGGATGGGGAATCCCTTCCCATAGGGACGGGGAGCCGCTTCCATAAGGGGGAGGATGGGGAATCCCTTCCCATAGGGATGGGGAGCCCCTTCCATAAGGGGAAGGATGGGGAATCCCTTCCCATAGGGATGGGGAGCCCCTGCCATAAGGGGGAGGATGGGGAATCCCTTCCCATAGGGATGGGGAATCCCTTCCCATAGGGATGGGGAGCCCCTGCCATAAGGGGGAGGATGGGGAATCCCTTCCCATAGGGATGGGGAGCCCCTGCCATAAGGGGGAGGATGGGGAATCCCTTCCCATAGGGACGGGGAGCACTTCCCCTAAGGATGGGGAATCCCCTCCCATAAGGACAGGGATGGGAAACCCTTCCCATAATGGTAAGGATGGGAACTCCCACAAGGATAGAGATGGGGAGCCCTTCCCGTAAGGATAGGAATGGGGAATGCTTCCCATAAGGATAAGGATGGGGGAACCCCCTCCCACAAGGATAGGGAATCCCATAAGGATAAGGATAGGGAGCCCTTCCTGTAAGGGGAGGGATGGGGAACCCTCCCCATAATGGTAAGGATGGGAACTCCCATAATAGGGATGGGGAATCCCTTCCCACAAGGACAGAGATGAGAAGCTCTTCCCAGGACAGGGATGGGGAAGCCACGGGGCTTGGAGCAGCCCGGGCCCATGGCCGGAGCTGGGAGGTCCTTCCCACCCCCTTCCAGGCTTCCAGGAAGCGGGAATCCTGCCCCACGCGCCCGTTACCTTCTTCTTCTTCTTCTTCTGGGTCTTGCGGCTGGCGGAGCTCTGGAGAAGGGCCTGGGGACAAGGAAGGGAATGAAAGGAGCCGGGAAGGGAAAGCTTTTCCTTTGCCATTCCCGGCTGGAAGCAGGGGAGCCTCTGGAGCGAGTCCGGAGGGGCAAGAGGATGAGCAGGGGCTGCAGCAGCTCCTTATGGAGCCATTGGGAATGTTCAGCCTGGAACGCTCCCGGCGTCCGAAGGGGGCTCCAGGGATGCTGGAGAGCAGGGAGAGGACAAGGGGGGGTGGATTCCAACTGGAACAGGGGGAGCCCAGCTGGGATCCAGGAGGGCGCTGGGACACGGGGCTGGGCTGAACGGAGCCGGTTCGGCTGCTCCATCCCTGGCAGCATCCCTATGGGGCTGGGGCTGCCTCCAAGCTCCTTCCCAGCCCCATTCCATGGCTCCGTTCCCGGGAGCTCGGCACCCACCTTGAGCTCCGCATCCTGCACCTCGAAGGTGGATCTGTAGAGGTCGGGCTCGAAGGGGCCTCCCGTTATCCGCATGGGGCCGTTGGGCATCAGGAGCACCGTGAACTTGAACTGCGCCACAAACTCCCCTGGGAGAGCGGGATTGGGATGGGGACGGCAGCCCCATTCCCAACACTGAGCCCATCGCCTTGGAAGCAAGGAGCCCCCCCCCAGGGCGCTGCTCCGCCACCACAGCGTCAGCACTGCAGTGATCCATGAGGGTGAATCCCGAGGGCTGGAATGTGGCTCGGCCGGCGCTCACCTTCCTTCTCATAGAGGACGTTGAAGGGCTGGAGCAGCTCGTGCTTGGCGCATTCCACCACTCCCATCCTCGCTTTCTTCTCATCCTCAAAGGCCCTGGGAAGCAGAGGGAGCTCAGCCCCTTCCCAAGCCACATCCCGGGATTCCAGCCCAGAGACCCCCATTCCCTCAGAGGGAAGCCTCCAGAGAGGGGGTTTAAGGTGGAACAGAGCCCATTGAGAGCGTGGTTGAGGCCATCCCTTAGAACATGGCCTGGAATTGCCTCATCCCTCCCTCTGCTCCACTGGGAACCGATTCCCAGCTCCCAGGAAGGGACCAGGAAGGGATCAGGAAAGGACCAGGAAGGGACCAGGAAGCACCAAGGAAGGACCAGGAAGGGACCAGGAAGGACCAGGGAGGGATGAGGCTGGGACCAGGAAGCACCAGGGAGGGACCAGGAAGGGATCAGGAAGGGATCAGGAAGGGAGCAGGGAGGGACCAGGAAGGGATCAGGAAGGGATCAGGAAGCGATCAGGGAGGCACCAGGAAAGGAACAGGAAGGGACCAAGGAGGGAGCAGGAACCACCAGGAAGGGACCAAGGAGGGACCAAGAAAGGAGCAGGAAGGGATCAGGGAGGGATCAGGAAGCACCAGGAAGGGACCAAGGAAGGACCAAGGAGGGAGCAGGAAGGGAGCGGGAATTCCCTGGGAATCCCCTTGGGAAGCAGCAGGCACCTGAGGGTGAAGGGCATGGTGTCGAAGCGCCGCTCCACCTCGCTGAAGAAGGCACGGGAGGTTTTCATCTTGAGGCCGTACTGCTTGGCTGGGTCCCGTTTGTAGATGGTTGTCCTCTGCCCCGCGTCCTTGGCCTGCGCACACGGCCCAGCTGATGCTTCCCCAGGCCGGGAATTGCCGCGGCATTCCCGGCGGGAACGGCAGGGATGGGGCGCCCGGCGCCGCGCTCACCTTCCCCTCCCCGCTGCTGACGAGGACGTCGACGGCATAAACCTCATGGACCTCAAATTCTGCCTTTTCGTGGTCCTTCCTGCATGGAAAACACCAGGATGGGAGGGACGGGAGGGGGAAAGCACCCAAAGGAGGGGGAAAACACCCAAAGGAGGGGGAAAACACCCAAAGGAGGGGGAAAAAAACCCAAAATCCCCTCCACAGCCACAGGGCATCACCCAATGGCCTTGGAGCAGCCTGGGCTGTTGGGAAGCGTCCCTGTCCATGGATCCCATGGCTGGAAGCGGATCCAACCCAACCCATCCCTGGTTAAAGAGGCACACAAAGGGCTCGGTGCCCCCATCCTGCCACGGTGCTGAGTGACCAGAAGCTGCTGGTGAACAGGAGCCCAATGCTGCTCCTGCCCAAGCGCTGCAGGGAAAGCTTCTGGTGCGCCCTCATCCCATGGGATCAGAGCTGTGGAACACCATGGATGGCACCCAGACCCACGCAACGGGTTCGGTGCCGGGGCTCCGGCTCTGAGCATCCCTTGGGGCCGGCAGCTTCCAGGAAGCTGGAGAGGAACCAGGAGCGTTCCAAGGGGCAGGAAGGGGGTTCCTGGGATAGGAAGGAGCATTCCAGAGCCCCGGATCCAAGGTGCATCCCCTTTTTCCCTGCGTGAGGCTCACTTTTGCTGGTCTGTGGGGTTCTGGATGATGGTTTTCTCGCCGTCGATGACGTGCTGCTTCAGCTGGTGGGACAGCATCCCTGGCACGAGAGGAGGCCGCAGTGCCCGTCAGGAGCCGCTTCCGTAAGGAACAGGCCCCACACCGGGAATGCCAAGGGGATGCGATGGGATCGGAGGGGAACCCATTGCCCAGGGAGGGTTTGGGTCCGCGGATGCTTCCCCATCTCCTCCAGAGCACAAGAAGCAGGAAACACTGACACACACACACACCCCCCAAAGCCATCCCACCCACTGGAATGCTCCGGTGTTCCAAGAGGGGATTTTATGGGATTGGAAGGAATCTCCCACAGAATGGAGCCATTGTGGCTGCAAGAAGCCCCTGGACCAGGAGCTGGTCCTATTCCCAACGGGAGACTCCCCCGGCCTCCGTGTGCTTCCCGGTGGGAATGGGATCTCACCTTCGATGGGGGTGCAGTGAAACGAGTGGGCTATTTTGTTCCAGGCCTCCGTCACTTGTGTGTTCTGCAGGGAAGACACAGGAAAAGCCATTGGGATGGGATGGGATGGGATGGGATGAAGGGAGGCGGTTGGGATGCTCCATCCCCGGCTCTGCCGGGTACCACTCACACCCTATGGAGGGTATCCCTGCCCGCGGAACGGCGTGATCCCAAGCTGCTTCCCAACCCATCCCAGGGCTCCATCCCTGCTCCCGAGGCAGCGCTCACCTGGTTTCCAGGCTTCACCAAGCGCAGCGCGGCCTCGGCGCACAGATGGGCCGCTTTGATGACATCGGCTTTCCGGCCGGACACGGGCTTTTCCTGCAGGATAGGGAACGGGAGCGGGATTCAGGAGCCTTCCCTTCTGCTTTCGGCACGCTGGAATCCCTCAACGCAAGGACCAAGGCGGGGGGACTCGGCTCCCATTGGGATTGGGATGCTGCTCCCAAAGGCCGGGAGCAGAGGAAGCGGCGGCAGGGAGGGTGCGGGCTGGGAATGCCGCAGGCAGGGATGGGAGCAGCCCCCCCTGCCCACCTTGGAGGCCTCGATGACGAAGCTGTGCGCCACGTTGGCGATGAAGCCGTCCACGTGCACCCCCAGGTCCCTGCAACACCAAGGTGGGGGGGTGAGGAAGCTCCGGGATGACTCCCAGCGGGAATCGCGTCCGGAAGCCCGGAGCTCACTCACACTTTGACCAGGTCGCCGTCCTTGAGGATGTAATCCTGGTCGCTCTTCAGGGGGGAGAAGTGGCAGACGCAGTTATTGACCGAGACGCTGGTGGGGAAGGCGATGCCTGCGGGCGGGAAGGGGGCTCCCATCAATTCCTGCCGCATGGAAGGGCCCCGCTCCAAGCCCTTGCCGTGGGCAGGGAGAGAGGCTCAGCTCCAAGCTGGCCTTGGCACTGCCAGGGATGCGGCATCCAAAGCTGCTCATTCCCAAGGCGTTCCCTTCTCTTGACTGGGGTTGGGAACAGCAACTGGGGGAGCCCAGTGAGCCCTTTTGCTGCTCTCAACCCACCCCAACAGCAGCCATCACCAACGGAAGGGGACAAGCCTGAAATTCCCGTTGGAAAAGGCAAATTCCCATTGGGAAAGCCAAATAATTCCCGTTGGGAAAGCCAAATAATTCCCGTTGGGAAAGCCAAATTCCTGTTGGGAAAGCCAAAGTCCCGCTGGGAAAGCCAAATTCCTGTTGGGAAAGCCAAATTCCCGCTGGGAAAGCCAAAGTCCCGCTGGGAAAGCCAAATAATTCCCGTTGGGAAAGCCAAATTCCCGTTGGGAAAGCCAAAGTCCCGTTGGAAAAGCCAAATTCCCGTTGGGAAAGCCAAATAATTCCCGTTGGGAAAGCCAAAGTCCCGCTGGGAAAGCCAAAGTCCCGTTGGGAAAGCCAAAGTCCCGCTGGGAAAGCCAAAGTCCCGTTGGGAAAGCCAAAGTCCCGTTGGGAAAGCCAAAGTCCCGTTGGGAAAGCCAAATTCCCGTTGGAAAAGCCAAAGTCCCGTTGGAAAAGCCAAAGTCCCGCTGGGAAAGCCAAAGCCCCGTTGGGAAAGCCAAAGCCCCATTGGGAAAGCCAAAGTCCCGCTGGGAAAGCCAAAGTCCCTTTGGGAAAGCCAAAGTCCCGCTGGGAAAGCCAAAGTCCCTTTGGGAAAGCCAAAGTCCCGCTGGGAAAGCCAAAGTCCCATTGGGAAAGCCAAAGTCCCGCTGGGAAAGCCAAATTCCCGCTGGGAAAGCCAAAGTCCCGTTGGGAAAGCCAAAGTCCCATTGGGAAAGCCAAATTCCCGTTGGGAAAGCCAAAGTCCCGTTGGGAAAGCCAAAGTCCCGTTGGGAAAGCCAAAGTCCCATTGGGAAAGCCAAAGTCCTGTTGGGAAAGCCAAAGTCCCGTTGGGAAAGCCAAAGTCCCGTTGGGAAAGCCAAATTCCCGCTGGGAAAGCCAAAGTCCCGTTGGGAAAACCTCACCTTTCTTCATCTCCTTTTCCTTCTTGAAGATCTTGCCAGTCTCTTCCATGATCATGGAATCTCCCTTCTCGCACAGGCCCAGCACCGAGGCGCCCGCGTTGGCCGCATCCAGCACCGCCCGCAGGACCCCTGGAGCCAAAGAGAGACGGAGGGGCTGGAGCAGGGATCGGGCTTCCCACTGGGAATGGGGCCCTCCGGAATCCCGCCGCCATTCCCATTGGACTGCGTTGGGGCCGTCAAGCGAAGCGCGGCGGCATTCCCGATGGGAGAAGCCAGCGCTCCAGCAGGACGGGCTTCGGGCACGGCGCTGGGATGCAGCACAGCAAAGGGAGCGGGGCGGGAGGCTTCCAAAGCCGCCGCTTCTCCTCTTCCTCCTCTCTGCAGCTCCCAGAACATTCCCAAATCCCGGCTCCACCAGGGCGCTTCCCCATCGGCCTCTGTTGGATCCAGCGCCAGGAGTCCCCACCTGGAGCCTGGGATGGACGGGATCCTTCAATGGGGAGGATCTGGGAATGCTGGGAGGGAGCAGCCGGCACCGGGCGCTTCCATGGGGCATTCCAAGCCCTTCACACCCGGCAGCGCCTCGCTCCATAGGGACTCAAAGCATTCCAAAGCCACCGCAATTCCCGAGCACCCCCCCACCTCCCCATTCCAAACCGGTTCAGCCCTTCCCGAAGGGGGGAACGCGCTGCTCCGGAGCCGTTCCCATTGGGAAGCGCGCCTGGAGCGGCCAAGTCAGCAGGAATCCATGCGGGCCACGCCGGGAGGAGCTCACCCAACCGGTCCCGGCGGCTGTCACCCCGCGGGGGGGGCGGAACGGGCCCCGTGGGGCTCCACCAACGCCTATGGGGGCTACAGGGCTCTATGGGGCTGCCCCACGTGTACCCCCCCCCCTCATTGGGGTCTATGGGGGGGGGTTCAAGCCCGGAACAAAGCCCCGGCCCCCCCGCCCCGGGCTCCTCCTCCCGCCGCCGCCGCCGGTGCACGTGGGGCGCGGAGGCCACGTGCGGGCAGCGGCGGCCGAGCGGGGCCTGCGGGTACCGGGGACCCCCCCCCCCACCTCCGTCCCAGGGGTCTCCGGTACAACCGAGCCCTTCCCGGTTAACGGCGGACGGGGAAGGGGGGGGCCGGGCCTCGCCTCCCGGCCCAGGCCCGCCCCGCTCCTCCTCGCGTGCCCCCGCTTCCCGGTGCCCCCCCCCCCCACAAGGCCCGGTCCCGGTGCGGCCTAGGCCCGGTCCCGCACTCACGGTTGGCGATGTCCCCCCCCATCTTGTACTTGGTCACCACCAGGTCCTCGGCGATCGTCAGCTCGGCCGCCTCCTCCTCGCCCGACATGGCCGGGGCCGGGGCCGCCTCCCTCCGTCCGTCCCCCCCCTCCCTCCCTCCCTCCCTCCCCGGTGCCCCCCGGTGCCGGGAGCGGAGCCGCCGCTGAGGAGACCCCGGGAGCGCGAGGAGCGCGCGGGCAGGGCAGGAGCGCGGGCTCCGCGCGGGGCACGCTGGGAACGCGAGTCCCCGCCCTCCCCCCGGCGGGAACTACAACTCCCGGCAGCCCCCGCGGCACGGCCGCCGGGACTACGGCTCCCGCCGGGCATTGCCGGCTCTCGCGAGATCCAGCGCGGGGGATGCTGGGTAATGTGGTTCAGGAGCGCCTCCGCGCTCCCATCGCACCCCCCCGGTGCTCCCCGTTACCCCCCCCCCCCCCCAAAGCATCAGCGCCACTTTGGGGTCGATTCCTTTTGTCTTTATTCACCATTTACAAACAGAACCATCGCGGGGGGGAGGGGGAGCTGTCCCCCGGTTCCTCCCCCCCCCCCCATTAAAACAACCCCAAAACGGGATCGCCGGGGGCGCATCCCATGGGGCTGGGGGGGGGGGGGCACCCCCAAACCTTCCCTCTGCTTCCAACGGGGAATGGAGGAACCTGAGGATGAATCCGGGGTCCGGACCTTCGGTTGCGGGGGGGCTCCTGACCCAAACCACTCCCACCCCATTGCAGTGGGTCAGGGCAGCCCCAGTGGGGTCCGGACCCAAACTCCCCCCCATTGCAGTGGGTCAGGGCAGCCCCAGTGGGGTCCGGACCCAAACCCCCCATTGCAGTGGGTCAGGGCAGCCTGGGGGGGTCTGGACTCAAACCCCCCCATTGCAGTGGGTCAGGGCAGCCCGGGGGGTTCCGCCCCCAAACCCCCCCCCATTGCAGTGGGTCAGGGCAGCCCCAGTGGGGTCCGGACCCAAACCCCCCATTGCAGTGGGTCAGGGCAGCCTGGGGGGGTCTGGACTCAAACCCCCCCATTGCAGTGGGTCAGGGCAGCCCGGGGGGTTCCGCCCCCAAACCCCCCATTGCAGTAGGTTAGGGCAGCCCGGAGGGGCCCGCCCCCAAACCCCCCCATTGCAGTGGGTCAGGGCAGCCCGGGGGGTCCGGACCCAAACCCCCATTGCAGTGGGTCAGGGCAGCCCGGGGAGGTCCGCCCCCAAACCCCCCCCCCATTGCAGTGGGTCAGGGCAGCCCGGGGGGGTCCGCCCCCAAACCCCCCATTGCAGTGGGTCAGGGCAGCCCCAGTGGGGTCCGGACCCAAACCCCCATTGCAGTGGGTCAGGGCAGCCCCAGTGGGGTCCGGACCCAAACCCCCATTGCAGTGGGTCAGGGCAGCCCGGGGGGTTCCGCCCCCAAACCCCCATTGCAGTGGGTCAGGGCAGCCCGGGGGGGTCCGCCCCCAAACCCCCCATTGCAGTGGGTCAGGGCAGCCCCAGTGGGGTCCGCCCCCATCTCCCCCCCATTGCAGTGGGTCAGGGCAGCCCGGGGAGGTCCGCTGCCAACCCCCCCCATTGCAGTGGGTCAGGGCAGCCCGGGGGGGTCTGCCCCCAAACCCCCCCCCCATTGCAGTGGGTCAGGGCATCGGGATGCCGGTACCCAGGAATCACGGCCGGGATCGGGAGCATCCCGCAGCCGGGGATCCTTCATATCCAGTGTAAACAGTCCCGAGGTTGGGGGGGGTCCGGGATGGGGGGTCCGGGATGGGGGGTCCGGTCCCTACGTCCGCTGCGGGTCCGCCTTGGCGAAGAGGCGGCTGTGCCAGTAATCGGGGTTATCGAAGGCGCAGTCCGAGGCCTCGAGGCTCCGCAGCGCTTTGCGAGAGGGCGCGGGGGGGCAGCGGCAGCCGGGGCAGCGCGGGGCCAGCACCGCCTCCATCTCCTCGTAGCCCTGCTCGTCCGGAGCCGGTACCGGAGCCGCCGGTCCCTGCCCCGCTCCCGGCCGCATGTCCGTGTACCCCGCGGTGCGCAGGGAGCGGCTGAGCCGCGGCTGCTTGTTCATGTACTCGTAATCTTCCTCCTCCTCCTCCTCCTCCTCATCCCCGTCCTCATCCTCATCCTGCCCCCGCAGCGGGGCCGGCTCCGCACCCACCTCCATGTACTCGTAACCCAGCTCCTCCAGGGACACCGCCCGCGGCCGCCGGTTCATGTACTCGTACTCCTCGTCCGGTGCCGGTACCGGGGGGTCCGGATCTGAGCGGGGACAAGGGGGCGGGGGGTAAAACATCCTCATCCCTTAAAGGTGACCCCCCCACACACACAGACAGTGCCCCATAGACCGGAGCCCGAAAAGGAGCTCAGATCTGCCTTAAGGAATGAATGGCAGCGGGGGGGACATGGGGACCCCCCCAACTGCTGCAGGACAATGGGGGGGGGAGCCCGGGTTTGGTCCTATGGGATGGGAGCCCCGACTCCTTGAGGATGGGTGCCCTGAGCCGCAATAACGGGGGGGCTCCCTGCAGCCCTTATGGGACCCCTATGGATGGGACCCCATTGGGTTGGGACCCCCATAGGACAGGACCCCCATGGGTTGGGACCCCTATAGGGTGGAGGCCCCACAGGATGGGACCCCCACAGGACGGGACCCCCATAGGATGGGACCCCATTGGGTTGGGAACACCATAGGATGGAACCCACCTAGGATGGGAACCCACAAAGGACAGGACCCCCATAGGAAGGAACCCCCATAGATGGGACCCCCATGGAATGGAGCCCCCATAGGAAGGACCCCCCATAGATGGGACCCCCATGGAATGGAGCCCCCATAGGAAGGAACCCCCAGAGATGGGACCCCCATGGAATGGAGCCCCCATAGGAAGGGACCCCCATAGATGGGACCCCCATGGAATGGAGCCCCCATAGGAAGGGACCCCCATAGATGGGACCCCCACAGCCCCGGCCCCCCCCATCTCACCGCCCCCGGGGCTGACGTAGCCGTTGTTGTCCTCGTCGGGGCCGGCGGGGGGGGGGCTCCGGGGCTGGGCCGGGTCCGCGCTGCCCCCCCGCGGGTGCCGGTTCCGCTGCAGGCTCCCGCCCCCCCCCGCGCCCTCCCCCGGCTCCGGCTCCGGCGGGGTCCGGCCCAGGGACCCCCCGCGGCTGCGGCGCATGGGGCGGCCCCCCCCGGGCTGCGGGAGGGGGGGCGGGGTCAGGGGCACCCCCAGACCCCCCCGTGCCCTCCCATGGCCACCTCCCCCCCCATTGCCCCCTATGGTCACCCCCTATGGCCACCCCTTTGCCCCCCCAGCACCCCATTGCCCCCCCATTGCCCCCTATGGCCACCCCTTTGCCCCCTTACCCAGCACCCCATTGTGTCCCCCATTGCCCCCTATGGCCACCCCCTTGTGTCCCCTTCCCTTGCATCCCATTGTCCCCCCCTTTGCCTCCTATGGCCACCCCCTTTGCCCCCCCCCAGCACCCCACTGTGTCCCCCATTGCCCCCTATGGTCACCTCCACCCCCCCCCCCAGCACCCCATTGTGTCTCCCATTGCCCCCTATGGCCACCCCCTTTGCCCCCCCCATCACCCCATTCTGCCCCATTGCCCCCTATGGCCACCCCCTTTGCCCCCCCCAGCACCCCATTGTGTCCCCCATTGCCCCCTATGGCCACCCCCTTTGCCCCTCCCAGCACCCCATTGTGTCTCCCATTGCCCCCTATGGCCACCCCCTTTGCCCCCCCCATCACCCCATTCTGCCCCATTGCCCCCTATGGCCACCCCCTTTGCCCCTCCCATCACCCCATTCGGCCCCATTGCCCCCTATGGCCACCCCCTTTGTCCCCCCCGGTACCTGGCGGCCGAGGCCGGGCTGGTCCATGGGGATGTACCCGGCGGGGGGGCTGAGCAGGCTCGGGCTCTGTTGAGGGGGGGTTGTGACACCGAGTCCGGAGCCATGGGGCAGCCCCACAGCGGGACCCATGGCGGGGGGGGGGGGGGGGGGGCTCACCCGGGCGCTGCTGCCCCGCGGGCGCTGCGGGGGGAGCCCGGAGCTGAGGCCGAAGCCGGTGCCGAGCTCCCCCCCCCCTTCCTCTTCCTCCTCCTCCTCGTCCTCCTCCGGCCCCAGCGGCTCCGCCTCCTCCAGCTCCTTCTCGCTGAGCGCCGGCGGCTCCGCGGCCCCGCTCTCCTGCACCGGGACCGGGGGGGGTCAGCGGCTGCGGGCACCGGGGGGTGCCGGGGGTACCGGGGGTACCGGGGGGTACCGGGGGTACCGGGGGTACTGGGGGGTACCGGGGGTACCGGGGGTCCGGGCTCACCTTGATCACCAGGTACCGGGGGGGGTCCCGCGCCATGCGGGTGAACTGGGGGTCCTTGAATGTGGGGCGTGTTCTCATCGGGGGTCCAGCCTGCGGGCAGAGCCCGGGTGGGGCTGGGACAGAGCCCGCGGTGGGGCTGGGACAGAGCCACCTTGATCACCAGGTACCGGGGGGGGTCCCGCGCCATGCGGGTGAACTCGTTCGCCAGCTCCTTGAAGGTGGGGCGGATGTTCTCATCGATCATCCAGCCTGCGGGACAGAGCCCGCGGTGGGGCTGGGACAGAGCCCGCGGTGGGGCTGGGACAGAGCCCGCGGTGGGGCTGGGACAGAGCCCGCGGTGGGGCTGGGACAGAGCCCGCTGTGGGGCTGGGACAGAGCCCGCTGTGGGGCTGGGACAGAGCCCGCGGTGGGGCTGGGACAGAGCCCGCGGTGGGGCTGGGACGGGAGCCCGCGGTGGGGCTGGGACAGAGCCCGCTGTGGGGCTGGGACAGAGCCCGCTGTGGGGCTGGGACGGGAGCCCGCTGTGGGGCTGGGACAGAGCCCGCGGTGGGGCTGGGACAGAGCCCGCGGTGGGGCTGGGACGGGAGCCCGCGGTGGGGCTGGGACAGAGCCCGCGGTGGGGCTGCGACGGGAGCCCGCGGTGGGGCTGGGGACGGGACCTCACTGTGGGGTTGGGAGAGGAGCCCACTGTGGGGCTGGGGATGGGACCCCGCTATGGGGCTGGGTCAGGACCCCACTATGTGGCTGGGGGCAGGAGCTCACTATGGGGCTGGAGATGGGAGTCCACTATGGGGCTGGGAGCTCACTATGGGGCTGGCGACGGGAGCCCACTATGGGGCTGGGTCGGGACCCTGCTATGGGGCCGGGACAGAGCCCACTGTGGGGCCGGGGCACTCACACTTCACCATGACCATGTAGACGTCGATGGTGCAGATGTGGGGCTGCGAGAGCCGCTCGCCCTTCTCCAGCAGATCGGGCACCTCGGCCAGGCGGATCCCGGCGTAGGGCTCCGCGCCGAAGGTCATCATCTCCCACAGCGTCACCCCTGTGGGGCAGCGCCCGTCAGTCCCATAGGTGATGGAGGGGACAGGAAACCCTTGGGTGATGGAGGGGACAGGAAACCCCTGGGTGACGGAGCAGACAGGGCACCCATGGGTGACGGAGTACTTGCCCAAAGTGGATGCTCTCCAGAGCCATCCATTTGATGGGGGTCTGTGGGGAGAGCGGGGATGTGGGGGGGGCCCACAGGGGCTATGGACGGGACAGGGCACCCATGGGTGACGGAGGGGACAGGGCACCCATGGGTGACGGAGGGGACAGGGCACCCATGGGTGATGGAGGGGACAGGGCACCCATGGGTGATGGAGGGGACAGGGCACCCATGGGTGACGGAGGGGACAGGGCACCCATGGGTGATGGAGGGGACAGGGCACCCATGGGTGATGGAGGGGACAGGAAACCCTTGGGTGATGGAGGGGACAGGGCACCCATGGGTGATGCAGGAGGGGATGCAGGGGGTATGGAGGGGATGCTATACATCAAACAGGGCATGTGGGATGTGTGGGGCGCCCCATAGCACCAAGGGGTGGTCCGGGGGGGGGGGGGTGTGCCCCACCTTGACCTCGTTGTAGAAATACTTCTTGTCGTCGGGGTAGAGCAGGTCGGCGATGCCGAAATCGGCCACTTGGGCCTGGCTGGGCGACTTGAGCAGGACGTTGCGGGCGGCCAGGTTGCGGTGAACCATGCGGTGCTCCTCCAGGTAATACATCCCCTGCGCGCGCCGGTTACCGGGGCAACGCCGGGGGGACCCCCCCATTGGGGTACCGAGGGGGGACATGGGCTCACCTTGGCCACCTGCACGCACCAGTTGAGCAGCAGCTGCGGGCTGAGGCTGCCGCGGTGCTTGCGCACGTACTCGAGCAGGGAGCCCAGCGGCAGCAGCTGCGTCACGAGCTGCAGGCGCGGGCCCGGGCACAGCCCCAGCAGCCGCACGATGTAGGCATGGTCCAGGCTGCCGATGGCCAGCATGTGCTGGGGGGGGGGAACAGGGTCAGCTCAGCCGGGGCACCCCCTCCCCGTGCACCGGCATCCATGGGGATCCACGGGGATCACTCACGTCGGTGACGGCGTGGAAGGACTGCTGCCCGCTCCAGTCCTGGATCACCTTGATGCTCACCGGGATCTTGATGGAGTCGCCGTCGGGGATCCAGATGCCCTTTGGGGTGGGCACCGTGGTGAGGGCTGTGCCGGGTGCTGGTTGGGACCCCCCACCATAGAGCAGCCCTCACCTTGTGCACGGTGCCGAACACGCCGGAGCCCAGCACCTTGAGGCGCTTCAGCTCCGACTCCTTGAAGATGCGGGCGAGCACCTTGTTGGCCTTTTCACTGGGGTCCAGCGGCTCCAGGCTCTGGGGGATGGAGGTGGGATCGGGGTGGGGATGGAGCAGGATGGGGATGGGAGCGGATGGGGATGGAGGTGATGGGGATGGAGGTGACGGGGATGCGGGTGGTGGGGATGCGGGTGACGGGGATGGGAGCGGATGGGGATGGAGGTGATGGGGATGGAGGTGACGGGGATGCGGGTGGTGGGGATGCGGGTGATGGGGATGCGGGTGATGGGGATGCGGGTGATGGGGATGCGGGTGACGGGGATGGAGGTGATGGGGATGCGGGTGATGGGGATGCAGGTGATGGGAATGGAGGTGATGGGGATGTGGGTGATGGGGATGCAGGTGATGGGGATGGAGGTGATGGGGATGCGGGGGATGGGGATGGGGGTGATGGGGATGTGGGTGATGGGGATGGAGGTGATGGGGATGGGGGTGATGGGGATGTGGGTGATGGGGATGGAGGTGATGGGGATGCGGGTGATGGGGATGCGGGTGATGGGGATGGGGGTGATGGGGATGCGGGTGATGGGGATGGGGGTGATGGGGATGCGGGTGACGGGGATGCGGGTGACGGGGATGGGGGTGATGGGACCCCCCTGACCTCGCCCCTCTCCAGGTACCGCCTCATCGCCCTCTTCTTCTGGATCTTCTTCCCGCGCAGGTAGAGCAGCGCCAGGAGGACGCAGGAGCAGAGGAGGAAGAGGCCCCCGACCACCGTCACCGCGATCACCGTCGGTGCCTTCCTGCAGGGGCCGGGGCCGGGGCTCAGCTCCTGCCCCTTCCCGCACCCCCGTGCGGTGCAATAGAGCCCGGCAGGGAACAGCCCCGAGCCCCGGCCCCCCCGCGGTACCTGGACACGGGCAGAGCCTCCCCCAGGCAGTCCCGCAGCAGCGGCCCCAGGCACCTGCAGGGATGGAGATGGGGGGGATGCAGGAGGGGGGGGGGCGCGGATCCCGGGGTGCCCCCCCCTTCCCTCCCGGCCCCCGCCGCACCCTCGGGTGCAGTTCTCGTGGCAGGGCCGGCACTCGCGCCCGCCGTCCGGGTACTTGTAGATGGGGCCGCGCTCCCCCAGGACGCCGTCGGGGCAGGCCTCGACGCAGTGGGGGCCGTCGCGGTACCGGGCGCAGCGGGTGCAGGTGTCGGCGCCCTGCGGGGGGGGCACGAGGACGCGTCAGGAGGCACCGGCGCCGGGTCCCCCCCCCGCCCCTTCCGGTACCGAGCCCGTTCTGAGCCCCTTCCGATACCACCCCGAGCCCGTCCCGACCCCATTCCGAGCCGATCCCGGGCTCGTCCCGATCCCATCCCAATCCCATCCCAAGCCCATCCCGAGCCCGTCCCGATCCCATCCCAAGCCCATCCTGAACCCGTCCCGAGCCCATCCTGAACCCGTCCCGAGCCCATCCTGAACCCGTCCCGAGCCCATCCCGGGCCCATCCTGAGCCTGCCCCGTCCTGCTCCGATCCCGTCCTGATCCCGTCCCGCCCCGCCCCGTCCCGCCCCGCCCGTACCGAGCCGTTGCAGGTGACGTTGCCCTCGATGCGCTCGCACTGGGGGTGGCACTCGAAGCATTCCCCCCCCTGCGCGAACTCCCGCGTCTCCCTGCGGGACAAGGGGGGGTCAATGGAGCCCCATGGCCCTGACCGGGCCCCGCGGCCCCGGCTCCCCCCCCCCCGGGCGCGAACCCCGGCTCACCCCTGCGTGAAGCGGCAGGAGGGGACGCAGACCCCGCGGCGGCTGAAGTGGCGGCAGGAGAGGCACTGAGCGGGGCCGGGGCCCCAGCAGCCCTCGGCGGAGCAGAGCGGGTCACAGACCTTGCCCTCTTGCTCTGCGGGCAGCCACAGGGGTGGGGGGACAGGGTCAGGCCGCGCATCCCCCATCGCCCATCCCTGCATCCCCATCACTGGTCCCCTTCTCCCTGCATCCCCATCACTTCCCATCCCTGGTCCCCCTGTCTGTTCATTCCCATTGCTCTCATCCCTGGTGCCCCTGTCCCTGCATCCCCATCACCTCCTGTCCCTGCATCCCCATCCTGGTGCCCCGGTCCCTGCATCCCCATCACCTCCCGTCCCTGCATCCCCATCCTGGTGCCCCGGTCCCTGCATCCCCATCACCTCCTGTCCCTGCATCCCCATCACCTCCTGTCCCTGCACCCCCATCACCTCCTGTCCCTGCATCCCCATCACCTCCTGTCCCTGCATCCCCATCCTAGTGCCCCGGTCCCTGCATCCCCATCACCTCCCGTCCCTGCATCCCCATCACCTCCCGTCCCTTCTCCCCATCCCCATCCCAGTGCCCCCGTCCCTGCACCCCCATCACCTCCTGTCCCTGCATCCCCATCACCTCCCGTCCCTGCATCCCCATCACCTCCCGTCCCTGCATCCCCATCACCTCCCGTCCCTTCTCCCCATCCCCATCCCAGTGCCCCCGTCCCTGCACCCCCATCACCTCCTGTCCCTGCACCCCCATCCCGGTGCCCCCGTCCCTGCATCCCCATCACCTCCTGTCCCTGCACCCCCATCACCTCCCGTCCCTTCTCCCCATCCCCATCCCGGTGCCCCCGTCCCTGCATCCCCATCACCTCCTGTCCCTGCATCCCCATCCCGGTGCCCCCGTTCCTGCATCCCCATCACCTCCTGTCCCTGCATCACCATCCCCGTGCCCCCATCCCTGCATCCCCATCACCTCCCGTCCCTGCATCCCCATCACCTCCCGTCCCTGCACCCCATCCCAGTGCCCCCGTCCCTGCATCCCCATCACCTCCTGTCCCTGCACCCCCATCACCCCCCGTCCCTTCTCCCCATCCCCATCCCGGTGCCCCCGTCCCTGCACCCCCATCACCCCCCGTCCCTCTCCCCATCCCCATCCCGGTGCCCCCATCCCTGCATCCCCATCACCTCCTGTCCCTGCATCCCCATCACCTCCCATCCCTGCATCCCCATCACCTCCCGTCCCTGCACCCCATCCCAGTGCCCCGGTCCCTGCATCCCCATCACCTTTTGTCCCTGCACCCCCATCACCTCCTGTCCCTGCACCCCCAGCGGTGCCCCCGTTCTCGAATCTTCATCACCTCCCGTCCCTGCACCCCCATCACCTCCGGCTGCGGGGATCCCTATCCCGGTGCCCCCGTCCCTGCACCCCCATCACCCGCCGTCCCTGCACCCCCATCACCCGCCGTCCCTTCTCCCCATCCCCATCCCGGTGCCCCCGTCCCTGCATCCCCATCACCTCCTGTCCCTGCATCCCCATCACCTCCTGTCCCTGCATCCCCATCCCGGTGCCCCCGTCCCTGCACCCCCATCACCTCCTGTCCCTGCATCCCCATCACCCCCCATCCCTTCTCCCCATCCCTATCCCGGTGCAGCGACGGGAGATGATGGGGGACACAGGGACGGGGGGATGCCTGCACCCCCATCACCCGCCGTCCCTTCTCCCCATCCCCATCCCCGTGCCGGTGCCCCCTCCCTGCCGCACTCACGGCACTTGCTGCGGGGTTTGTTGTTGCGGATGTCGAGGTGCAGCGGCGCCGGCTCAGGGCCGCCCATTGCACGGTGTGCAGGTAGCAGAGCCGCCGGTTCTCGGTGATGTAGACCCTGCCCGCGCTCACCTCCCGCAGCGAGCGCACACAGGGAGGTCACGGAGATGAAGAGGGGATGCAGGGACAGGGAAGGATGGAGGGATGCAGGGACCGGGCAGCCCCAAAGCCGGGGGTGCAGGGAGCGGGATGGGAGGTGATGGAGGGGTGCACAGGGATAGGGGGATGACAAAAGGGGGGATGCAGAGATGGGAGATGATGGGGGACACGGGGACAGTGGGATGCAGAGGCAGAAGGTGATGGGGGGATGCAGAGGCAGGGGGATGCAGGGATGGGGAGTGATGGGGGGACACAGGGATAGGAGATGAAGAGGGGATGCAGGGACAGGGAAGGATGGAGGGATGCAGGGACAGAGGGGTACACAGGGACAGTGGGATGCAGGGGCAGAAGGTGATGGGGGGATGCAGGGGCAGGGGGATGCAGGGATTGAGGATGACGAGGGGTACACAGGGACAGTGGGATGCAGGGGCAGAAGGTGATGGGGGGATGCAGGGGCAGGGGGATGCAGGGATTGAGGATGATGAGGGGTACACAGGGACAGTGGGATGCAGGGACAGGGGAATGCAGGGATGGGGGCTGCAGGGACGGGGGCTGCAGGGGACACAGGGGCAGAGGGAGGTGCCGAAGGGGACCCAGGGCACTGCGAAGAGCGGGGCCGGGCTCTCACTTGTAGAGGCTCCGTCCCCCGATGGTGACGAGGTTGGAGAAGACGCTGAAGTTGTGCATGTGCTTGGGCCAGGACTGGATGTTGAGGTACCCTGCGGGGGGGTCCGGGGGGGTCAGGGTGTCCCGGGGGGGGGGGGGGGGGCGGTCCGGGGGTGCCCCCATCCCCGCTCTCACCCGTGATCTCCCGCACGGTGCGGAACACGTTCAGCTTCTCAGGGTCCAGCGCTGAGATGTTGCGCCAGGGATCCCTATGGAGCCAGAGCATCAGCGGGGCCCGGAGGGGGGGGGGCAACAGCACCGGACCCCCCCACACCCCACCCCGCTCACCCCTCGAGGCCGGTGATGAGGAAATCGAGGTTGCCCAGGATCTTGGTGCAGTTTATGAAGGTGTCGATGTTGCTCGAGTCCACGGTTTGGTACCTGCTGCCGGCGCCGGTGCCCTCGCAGGCTGCGGGGATGGGGGGGGGGGGATGATGCTGAGCACCCCATTGGGACCCGCAGCGCCCCCAAACCCCGAGCCCCCCCCTCACCCCGTACCCTTGGGGCACAGCCCCGAGCAGGGCTCGCACATCTTGAGCCCGTTCTTCTCCACCTCCATCTTGTCATTGGGGCAGGCGCGGACGCAGGAGCTTTGGTCCACGACGAAGTTGTCTGGGGGGGAGACCCCGAGGTCAGAGCCCCCATCCCCACTGAGCCCCCCCCATTCCTGCCCCCCCCCGGCCCCGGCGCAGCTCACGGGGGCAGCTCCGGACGCAGATGCCCCCGTACTGGTACTTGGTGTCGGGGTTGGGCTCCAGCTGGAACGTCAGCTTGTTGTAGATGAGCGGCTGCGGGCAGAGCGGGACGCAGGCGCCGCTGTCGTTGAAGTGCCGGCAGGCCTGCGGGAGGCGACGGGGATGGGCACGGAGGCGGGGATGGCTCCCAGGGGACACGGGGATGGGTACGGGGGAGGGAGGACCCCTCCCTCTGCCCCTCGGGGACAGCATCGCCCCCCACAGCTGCCCTGGGAGGGGGCAGACACAGGCAGGGATGGATGGACCCATGGATGGATGGATGCAGGGCTGGATGGACACAGGCACAGGGATGGATGGATGCAGGGCTGGATGGATGGATGCAGGGATGGATGCAGGGATGGATGGATGCAGGGCTGGATGGACACAGGCACAGGGATGGATGGATGGATGCAGGGATAGATGGATGCAGGACAGACACAGGGCTGGATGGATGCAGGGATGGATGGACCCAGGGATGGATGCAGGGATGGATGCAGGGATGGATGCAGTGATGGATGGATGCAGGGATGGATGGATGCAGGGATGGATGGACCCAGGGATGGATGGATGGATGCAGGGATGGATGGACCCAGGGATGGATGGATGGATGCAGGGACGGATGGACCCAGGGATGGATGGATGGATGCAGGGATGGATGCAGGGATGGATGCAGGGATGGATGGACCCAGGGATGGATGGATGGACCCAGGGATGGATGGGCGCAGGGATGGATGGATGCAGGACAGACACAGGGCTGGATGCAGGGCTGGGTGGGCGCAGGGCTGGATGGATGCAGGGCTGGATGGATGCAGGACAGACACAGGGCTGGATGCAGGGCTGGGTGGGCCCACGGATGCAGACGCTTGGGTCCCGCGGGGCGCACGTACGAAGCAGTGGGTCTGCAGGGGGCCCGTGCACCCCCCCGCGCACTCCTCGTGGCAGCACTCGTTGGGCGCCCGCCCGAAGCAGCGCCCGTTGCATTGCGGGGCGCAAATCGTCTTGGTCACTGCGGGGGGGGCAGGGGGTGAGGCCGAGGCCAGCCCTGACCCCCCCATCCCATCGCCCCCCCGGTACCCACGTTTCTGGCAGTCCTCGGGGCCGGGTCCCCAGCAGTGGCCGCCGCAGCTCTCGTGGCAGGGGGGGCCTGGGGCGGGGGGGGCAGAATGGGGTCACCCCAGGGCCGGGGGGGGGGGGGCACAGCAGCATCGCCCCCGAGGCCGGGGGTGCCCCCCCCACGCACAGGCCTTGCCGTTGTCCCCCACGATGGGCTGGCGCCGGGGGTCCCGCAGGATGTCCTCCCACTGCACCGTGTCCACGTGGCAGAGCTGCGCGTTCTTCTCGATGTAAACCCCCCCGGCCAGGATCTCTGTGGGGCAACGGGGACATGGGGGGCAATGGGGGCAACGGGGACCGTGGGGACAACGGGGCCATGGGGGGAATGGGGGCAATGGTGGACAATGGAGGCACTGGGGACCAGGGGGCAATGGGGGATAATGGGGACTATGGGGACAACAGGGCCATGGGGGCAATAGGGGACAATGGAGGCACTGGGGACCATGGGGGCCATGGGATGCACAGGGGGTAGCACTGCTTCGGGTGAGGACCACGGGACAGCACCACATCAGGATGGGGACCATGGGACCTGCAGGGTCAGCACAGCCTCGTGGTGACACCGCTCTGGGATGGGGACCAGGACACAGAGGGGACAGCATCGCTCTGGATGGGGACCAGGGGCATGGAAGGATCCGGGATGGATGGAGGGATGCAGCCCGGTGCAAGCACCAGGATGCGGCTCCCCCTGGGATGGGGACCGTAGCATCACCTCCCTGAGGGATGGGGACCAGGATGGGGACCGCAGCATCACCTCCCTGAGGGATGGGGACCGGGATGGGGACCGCAGCATCACCTCCCTGAGGGATGGGGACCGGGATGGGGACTGCAGCATCACCTCCCTGAGGGATGGGGGCCAGGATGGGGACCGCAGCATCACCTCCCTGAGGGATGGGGACCGCAGCATTGCCCCGGGCTGGCACCACCAGGGGAGGGGGACCGGACGGCACCAGGACCGGGGGGGCTGTGTGTGGGGGGTACCTGTGAGCTGGTTGAGGCCGAGCTGCCGCAGCGCGTGGGTGCTGTTGGGGTTGTAGTTGAGCAGCACGAAGAGCGCAAACTGCTCCTCGTAGAACTGGGTCCCGCGGATCACGCGCAGGTTCCGCAGCGGCAGCGCCGCGAACACATTCATGGCGATCAGGATGTAGCCCGTGACCTCCCGGATGGTCTGCGGCAGGGGCACAGCACCCCCGGCGTCACCCGGGGGCCGCATCCTGCGCACCCTCCCTTCCCCTTGCCCCCCCCAGCACCGCACCTGCAGGAAGGACAGGTCCTGCGTGTGGTCGATGAGGACGATCTCCAGGTTGCCCAGCACCACCTCGCAGTTGTTGTACATCTTGTGCAGGGTCTGGTACTGGTGCTGAGCGTCCCCGGTCACGCTCAGCCCGTTCAGGGTCCCCGCACACACTGCGGGCACAGCGGCGTCCCTCAACTGCGGCCACGGCCCCCCCTTGAGCCCATGTCCCCTCCTTGATGTTCATGTGCCCCCTTGATGTCAATGTCCCCCCATTGATGTCCATGTTCCCGTTGATGTCCATGTCCCCCCCAGATGTCCATGTCACCCCACTGATGTCTGTGTCCCTAATGGTGCCCATGTCCCCCCCCTTGATGTCCATGCTCCCCTTGATGTCCATGCCCCCAATGGTGCCCATGTCCCCCCCCTTGATATCCATGCCCCCCTTGATGTCCATGCCCCCACTGATGTCCATGTCCCCCCCCTTGATATCCATGCTCCCCTTGATGTCCATGCCCCCAATGGTGCCCATGTCCCCTTATTGACGTCCATGTCCCCCCCTTGATGTCCATGCCCCCATTGATGTCCATGTCCCCCTCCATTGATGTCCATGTCCCTCCCTTATTGACGTCCATGTCCCCCCCTTGATATCCATGCCCCCCTTGATGTCCATGCCCCCATTGATGTCCATGTGTCCCCCCTTGTTGTCCATGCTCCCCTTGATGTCCATGCCCCCAATGGTGTCCATGTCCCCTTATTGACGTCCATGTCCCCCCCTTGATGTCCATGCCCCCATTGATGTCCATGTCCCCCTCCATTGATGTCCATGTCCCCTTATTGACGTCCATGTCCCCCCCTTGATGTCCATGCCCCCAATGGTGTCCATGTCCCCCCCCATTGATGTCCATGTCCCTCCCTTATTAACGTCCATGTCCCCCCATTGATGTCCACATCCCCCAATGGTGTCCATGTCCCCCCCGATGTCCATGTCCTCTAATTGATGTCCATGTCCCCCCCTTGATGTCCATGCCCCACTGATGTCCATGCCGCCACTGATATCCATGTCCCCCCATTGATGTCCACATCCCCCCCATTGATGTCCACGTCCCCCAATGGTGTCCCCGTCCCCCCCCCGTCCCTGCCCCCGCCCCCCCCACTGCCGCACCCCCTCCCTGTCCCCCCCCGCGGCTCTGCCCCCCCCCCGCCCTCCGCAGCAGCGCCCCCGCCCGGGGCTGCCGGTGCCGGTGCCCGAACCGGCCGGGCGAGGCTTGCGCAAGGCGGCCGCGGGCCCGGCCCCGCTCCCAGCGCCCCCGACGCCGGACTTCGGCCCCGGCCCCGCCTCGGTGCCCGGAGCCGGGGCTGGGGCTGGGGCCGGGGGGGACCCCGGGGCCGTCGGGGGGGGGGGGGGGCGCGGACAGAGGCGCTTTGTGCGCGGGGCCCCCTCCCCGCCGCCGCACAAAGGGGCGATTGTGGAGAACGGGGCACGGGGGGGGGGGCGCGGAGCCCCCCGGGACCCCCGGGGCACAGCGGGGTGCGGGGCCCCCCCCAGACGTGAGTCAGGGCCCGGCGCGGGGGGGCCGCGGCGGTAAAAGGCGGCTTTGTGCTGCCCCAGTGCGGGGGCACGGAAGGGGCCCGAGCCCCCCCCCCCGCAGGGAACGGGCAGCGCGGGGCACGCAGGGGAAGGGGCCGAGCCCCCCCCGCCCGCCGCGGCAGCGATGGGAAGGGAAGGGATGGAAGGGATGGAAGGGATGGAAGGGATGGAAGGGGCTATATAAAGGTCCCAGCTGCGCTCTGGAATGGCCCCAGCCCCGACGGGCCGGGGATGGGCGCGGGTTGGGGGTGGCTTGGAAAGAGGGGGGGGGGTGGGGGGGCTGCAACCTCAAAGGACTCATTTGGGGACCCCCGCAAAGCTGCTGGGGGTTTGGGGGGGGGGGGGGAAGCGGGGGGCAGGACCCAGCCCTATGGGACCCCCATGAGCCATTAACAGCGGCTCAACCGCTCCCGCAGCCACAGCGGGGTTCGGGGGGTGCGGGCCGGGTCCTTGGGGTGCGGGCCGGGTCCTTGGGGTGCGGGCCGGGTCCTTGGGGTGCACCTGCCCGCGGGGGGGGTGCAGAGCGCTCCCCCCCCCCCTCCCGGCCCCGCCGTCGCCGCGTTATCAGCGCGGGGCCCCGCTGGCAGCTCCGCAGCCGCCGCTATCGCCCGCGTGCCCCCGGCCCCCGCTGCCAGGAATAGAACCGGGACCCGCGGGGGGGCCCAAAGCGGGGGGGGGGGGGCCCAAAGCGGGCTCCGAGCGGGGGCAGCGGGGCCGGGAGCGCCCCCCCCCCCCCCCCGCGGTTCGAAACAAACTCGGGGCGAAGCCGCCGTTTCCGGGACCTCCCCCCCCCACCCCCCCCCCGCACCCCGACGGGACCCCGGTGCTCCGGGGGGGGGGGGGGGCGCAGGTGCCGCTGTGGGGGGGGGGGAGCCGAGCCCCGGTCCCGGTCGCAGCCCGGGGGGGCTCCGCTGGTGCCGGTCCCCACCGGGGCGCGGTTGGAGGGGAGGGAGCGGCGGGGGCCGGGATCGCACCCGCGGCCCCCCCCCGGTGCCGGTGCCGGTGCTCACCTGCCTGCGCGGAGCCGGGCGCGGGGGCGCGGAGCAGCAGCAGCGGCAGCAGCGGCAGGAGCCGGAGCCGGTACCGGGGCCGGGGCCGCTCCATCGCGGCTCGCAGCGGGGCCCCGCGGTCGCGGCGTGCCCGGGCGCGGCGGGGGGAATGCACCTGGCGCGGGGCCGTCGGGGCGGGGAGGACGAGGCGGGGCCCCCCCGGGCAGAGCGGAGCGAGCCCCGCCCGCCGCGCCCCGGGACGGCCCCCCCCAAACCCGGCCCCGCCTCCATCAGGTGCAACCGGGGCCGCTGCCGCCCCATAGCCCCGGGGGGGGGAGCCTCGGGTCCAGCCCCTCCAGTGCAGGGGCAGCGCCAGGATGGGGGGCACAGAGCCCCACAACCACCCCATCCCCTGCCATTGGGGGGGCGGAACCCCCCCGGAAGCCTCATTATCCCTCCCCCCCCAACTCTGCCCCATAGCGGCGCATTCCCCCCCCCCCCAAAAACACAGGGCACGGGCTGGGAGCAAGCTCCTTTATTGATCCCGCAAGCAGGGCTGGGCTCCAGCGGCGGCTCCTCACATGGGCTTTGGGGGGGGCCGGGGGGCTGCACCCTGGAGGGGGGGGGACACAGCGTCAGGCAGGGCTTGGGGGGGTGAAACCCCATTTCCCCCCATAGATACAGGTGATGTATAACATGTAACATCATCTATACACACAGCGTCAGCCAAAGCTAGGGGGGAGGAACTGGGGGGGAATTGGGGGGAGGAATTGGGAGAGGAATGGGGGAGGAATTGGAGGGAGGAATTGGGGGGGAGGGACTGGGGGGGAGGAATTGGGGGGGGAATTGGGTGGGAAGAATTGGGGGGGAGGAACCGGGGGGGGGGAGAATTGGAGGGAGGAATTGGGGAGCAGGAACCGGGGGGGAAGAATTGGAGGGAGGAATTGGGGGGAGGAATTAGGGGGGAAGGAATTGGAGGGAGGAATTGGGGGGCAGGGACTGGGGGGGAGGAACTGGAGGAAGGAATTGGGGGGAGAGGAATTGGGGGGGACTGAACCCGCATTCCCCCCCATATACATTAAGCATCAACCAGGCCTTAGGAGAGGTCTCAACCCCCTTCCCCCCCCCCCCCCCATTCACACAGCATCAACCAGGCCTTGGGGGGGAGACTGAGGGGGGCAGCTGAACCCCCCCCCCATGCAATGGGGGCTCCTCCCTCAGCATCAACCAAGCCTATGGGGGGGTTGAGCCCCACTCCCCCCCTGCACCTACAGCGGGGCGGAAGCGGGGCGGGGGGGTCCGGTCCTTGCGCGCCTCCCGCGAGCGGTTCCGCACCACCTTGCTGTGGATGGCGCAGCTCACGCAGTAATGGAGCTTCACGTAGAGCTTGGGCAGCACATAGGCTATGGGGCAGGGGGGACACAGGGGGTCAGCGACCCCCAGAGCCCCCCCGGAGCCGCGCTATGGGGCTGGGGGCTATGCTATAGGGCTGGGCCCCCTCTATGGGGCTGGGGCTGTGCTATGGGCCTTGGGGAAGCGCTATGGGGCTGGGGCAGCGCTATAGGGCTGGGCCCCCTCTATGGGACTGGGGCCGCGCTATGGGGCTGGGGGCTGCGTTATGTGCCTTGGGGAAGCGCTATGGGGCTGAGGCTGTGCTATGGGGCTGGGGCCGCGCTACAGGGCTGGGGGCCGTGCTATAGGCCTAGGGGAAGCGCTATGGGGCTGGGCCCCTGTTATGGGGCTGGGGGCCGCACTATGGGCCTACGAAAAGCGCTATGGGGCTGGGCCCCTGTTATGGGGCTGGGGCCGCGCTATGGGGCTGGGGCAGCGCTATAGGGCTGGGGCAGCGCTATAGGGCTGGGGCAGCGCTATAGGGGCTGAGACCCCGCTATGGGGCTGGGGCTGCGTTATGGGCCTTGGGGAAGCGCTATGGGGCTGGGGCTGCGCTATGGGGCTGGGGGAAGTGCTATGGGGCTGGGCCCCTGTTATGGGGCTGGGGCCACACAATGGGGCTGGGGAAAGCGCTATGGGGCTGAGGCTGTGCTATGGGGCTGGGGCCGCGCTACAGGCCTAGGGGAAGCGCTATGGGGCTGGGCCCCTGTTATGGGGCTGGGGCGGCTCTATGGGGCTGGGGGCCGTGCCCCCGCTCTGGGGCACTCACAGTCGAAGACGCTCGCCTCCGAGATGTCCCTGACGGCGGCCGCCTCCACGATGTTGCGGATGACGAACTTCTTGATGGCCTTGTCCTTGGGCACGCAGCGCGCGCAGTTGGTGCAGCGGATGGGCTGCACGTGCCCGCGGCCCTTCTTGGCGCGCCCGTTGTTCCGGCGCTTCTTCGTCTGCCATGGGGAACGGGGGGGGATGGAGCGGGACCCCCCCCCACCCCCCACAACCGGCACCGCCTGCCCCATAGGAGCCCCATGGACAGGCCCCTAGAGCGGCTCTTCCCAGCATGCCCTGCCCCATATAGACCCTATGGTGGCCATCCCCAACCAGCATCTCTTTCCCCATATGGACCCCATATAGGCCCCCCATAGCCCCTATGGACCCCATACAAGCCCCCCATAGCCCCTATGGACCCCATGTAGGCCCCACAGCCCTTATGGACCCCATATAGGCCTCCCGTAGCCCCTACGGATCCCATATAGGCCTTCCATATCCCCTATGAATCCCATACAGGCACCGCATAGCCCCTACGGACCCCATACAAGCCCCCCCATAGCCCCTATGGACCCCATATAGGCCCCCCATAGCCCCTATGGACCCGATACAGGCCCCCCATAGCCCCTATGGACCCGATACAGGCTCCCCATAGCCCCTATGGGCCCCATACAAACCCCCCATAGCCCCTATGGACCCCATACAGCCCCCCATAGCCCCCCACGTGCCCCCGCCCGCGCGGCTCTCACCATGGCGCTCCCGAGGCCCGCGAAAGAGGATCCGGCCGCCGCACTGCCGCCCTTATAAAGGTCTCCCTCCGCCCGGAAGCGCCTCCGCCGCCGCCCCGGGGCCGCTCCGGCTCCTCCGCCCCCAGCGCCGCCCCGGTCCCGCCGCAGCGGCCCCACCGGAGGGGCGGGGGGGGGAGCGGGGCCGAGCGGGGCCCAGGGTGGCGGCGGCGGCGAGGCGGGTTAAGGGACTACTTCTCATCGCCGCGGCGGAGGGATCGGAGCGATTGAGGTGTGAGGCGCCCAGTGCGTGCTGCGCGTGACGTCATTCCGCAGAGCGCGCCGCGGGGGATGCTGGGAGTTGTAGTCCCAGGGGCTCATGGAGACCCCCAGCCCCTTCCCCATCATCCTGACCCCCCCCAGGGCTCTGTGGGGACCCCCAGGGGGTCCCCCCTTTATGAACAGGGTCCAAACCCCCCCATCCCTTAAAGGGACCCCCCCAATGTGTGTGTGTGCCCCTTGTGGGGGGGTCCCCACTGTGTGTATGTGTCCCCTGGGGGGGGGGTCCCCAATGTGTCCCCCAGTTACCCCTGGGGGGAGGCTCAATGCGTCCTGTGCCCCCCTCATCACCCTCGGGGTGTGCGTCCCACAGTGACCCCTAGGGGGGGCAGTTCCCAGCATCCCCCCCCCCCATCACCTTTGTGGGCAGGGGGAGTCCCCACTGTGTGTCCTCCCCATCACTTTGGGGGTGCGGGGGGGGTCCGTTAAATTACTCGGGTTTATTTATAACAGACCTTCAGCCATTACAGTACAAAACTTACAGTAGATCTCGTTACACAAAGAGGTACTTACAATATCTTACAGGTACAAAAGCTCCTGGGGGGGGTCCAACAGCGCCTGGAACCCCCCAAGCCAAGCCAACAGCAAAGCCATTAACGAGAGACAACTGAAACCCAAGGGAGGGAGCAATGGGATGTAAAGGGGTGGGGGGGGGACACACGGGGTATTGCACATCATCATCATCATCATCCTCACCCTCATCATCCTCAGGGTTTGTTCTTCATCCATCTGCTTCAAAAATAGACATTTACAGAGTAAAGCGCCTGGAGGTGTACAAAATTCCTAGGGTCGGCAGGGGGAATGGAATTCCATAGGGAAAAGGAAGGAAAAGAACAAAAGACACCCCCCCACCCCCCCCCCAAGTAATGAACCAACCCAAGGGTGCTCCAAGTGCAGCGCTTGGTTTGGGTTGGAAAAGCCCCTTTTTGGGGTGGTTTGGGGGGGTGGGGGGGTGAGAAGGGGGGGGCTGAGCCCCAGTGATCCCCCCCATATAGAAAGGGGGGGGTTAAATATATATCTAATAATAATAGTAATAATATTAATTAATAGCAAAAGGGGGGGAACAGGGGCAACGGGAGCTGTTGCCGCCGCATTGAGGTGGTTGCGTTGGTACAAAAGGAACAGGCTTTGGTTTCACCCTCAGGAGCCCCCGGGGGGGCTTTTATGCGTCCTGGGCCTGGGGGGGGGGGAATCAGGACCCCCCCCCAAGGGATATGGATATAAAGAGGGGGGGATGCGGGAGGGCACCAGCATCGGGTGAGGCCCCCGCTTCATTTTTGGTTCGCGGCTGCTTTCCCCTTTGGATAAGGGACCCCAAAGGGGGGCCTGGGCAACCCCCCCCATGTGTTCTGCCCCCCCCCCCCCCCGGCCCTAAAGCCATCCCAAAGGATTGAGGATCCAAAGCTCCATGCTGGGGGTGTTGATACCCCGAAGAGGAGTGACCCTGGAGCACCGGGAGAGCCCCCCCCAATCCCTTGGGAATGGCGAGGGGGGAAGGAGGAGGAGGAGATCCCATCTTCCTGCCTTCATTTAAGGGGAGCAATATGGAATCTCATCCCCCCCCCAAGCAGGGCTAAGTATGGGGACGGGGGTGGGGTTCAAATCCCATTGGGAATCACCGGGTAAATCCGGCAGCACCGGGAAGGGGGGGGGGCAGCAGCGGGTCCCCCAGGATAGACTCATTAAAGCTCAGGGTGCAGCGACCCCCCCAAACCGGGTTAAATGGGGGGGGGTCACAGCTGATGGAGGTGGGGGGTCCCATAGAGGGGGGGGTTAGCACCGAATCTGAGGTTTGACCAAGGAAAGGGCTTGGAGCCGGGATCGGGATCGGGATCAGGAAGAGCCCCAGCGAGTGTGACTCCAGAAGGGGCAGAAGAGATAGAAAAGAGCAACTCAAGAGCTCAATAAATAACAATGGGAGGGAGGTGTTTTTTGGGGGGGGGCCCAAAAAAGTCCATTAGTATTTAAATATAAAAAGGCAAATGGTTCCCAGCCCCCCCCCCCTCCCCCCGGGGGGGGGGGTTCAGGGTGGTTTTGGGAGTGATTTTTTTCTTTTTCCATCGTTTTTGTTTGTTTTTCGTAGCCAAAATCAGTGCAAAGGAGGTAAAAAAGAACAACAACAGTTCCATGCCCGAGGGTCGGGGGGGGGGGGGCTGAGCGAGAGCCAAGGGATGGGGATAACGGGGAGTAACGGGGATAACGGGGATGAGGGGGGGGTTAACCAACTTTGTGCTCGCCCCTCACGATGTGGGAGGAGAACTCGTACCGGTCCTGGCTGTGGTAGCCACAGATGTTGCACTCGAAAGGGTCTCTGAAGCCGTGGCAGCCCATGTGGATGGTGAACATGACGTGGTCCAGGAAGAGGATGCGGCAGTGCTCGCACTTGAAGGCCCGGAGCTGCTCCCCGTCCTCATTGAGCACCCTCAGCGCTTCTTTGGCAGAGCTCGGGGTGGAGCGGGCGGCCGGGGGCCCCTCCGGCACCTTGGGGTCCTCTTTGGCGTAAGCTGGGCTCTGGCGGCTGCTCCCCGCGGGCCCCTGCGAGCTCCGCTCCTCGTGGTTGCTCTCGGTGTCGCTGGAGTCGGCGCAGCCGTTGGGGGGGGACCCGGCGTGCTCCCGGCCCCGGTACAGCACCGGCACGGCATCGCCCACGTCCTCGTGGCCCTCGGCCGCCTCCCGGCCCCCCGGCAGCTCCAGCCGGGCCGGCAGCGCCTGGAGCTGGGTGTAGACGGAGCTGATGACGGGGGTCACCTCCGAGATGCAGTTTGTGGGGGGCAGGCGGAGGCCGCGGAGGTGCTCCCCCCCCAGCAGGGATAAGGAGGCGCCGTAGGCAGGGTCCAGGGGGTGATGGGCTGAGACCATCTCCACGTCCTTCTCGAAGCCGGAGTTGACGTCGAAGGGGAGGTCCGAGAGGCTGAACCTCATCTGCTTCTCCCCTATGGAAGCAGAGCGGGGTCACAGCGGGCTTTGGGTCCCGTGGCCCCTCCGTCCCCAGCATCGCTGCGGCGCTATGGGACACACACACACACACACACACACACGGATGGACTCCCCTTTGCCCCTCCTCATCCCAATGGGAATCCAACGGGAATCCCCTTACCCACGAACTTCTGGGGCGTGGAGCGTTTCCTCTTGGTGAGGCTGCTGGCCAGGCGGTCGATGAAGCTGGGCCGCTCGGAGGAGGGATGCAGCAGCGCCTCCGGCACCATCTCCAGCTCCCTCATCTCCTCCCCTGGCAAAGAGAGAAGGGAAAAGCCAGGTCAAGGCGGGCGCCGGACCCCGCAGCCGCTGCTCCTGCCCTCTGCCAGCCGGGATGGACGTGGGGAAAGGCTCCTCTGCTCCAGGCCCAGAGCTTACCCCGTGGGTGCCTCGGTCGCGGGGCGGCCGCTCCTCCCTTCTTCCTCGAGCTGCGCCCGCTCCTGCCGCTTTGGGGAAGAGGAGCCGGCTTCAACGCATGCAAGTGCCCCATTGCCGCTATTCCTGGGGGTGCTCAGCCCATCCCGCGGGGATGCCGGCCTCCGGAACGGGGCGGGGGGTGAGGAGCAGGGAGGCTCCGGCACAGCCAAGCCCAGGGGGCTGCTTGCTGCCTCCCAGGAGCACCAAAAGGCGCTTCCAAGCCACTCGGTGCCCATTGCCCTCGATATAAGGAGCAAAGGGGGGGTGTGGGGTGTGTGTCCATTCAAGGGGGAGTTTTCCATTTGGGAAGCTCTGGGATTCAGCTGCCGGCACGGGCAGGAAGCAGCGAGGTGCCCCTTGCAGAGCTGCGGGGCTCCCCCTTCTCCACCGGGAATGCCGATCCCTGTGTGCTCCCCCCCGTGCCCCACTGACCTGCCTGGCTGGCCAGGGCCGGCGGCTCCGGGTGCAGGCTCTGCAGGTAGCTGTGGCACCGCTCCTTGTGCTCCTCCAGCGTGCTCTGCTGCTTGTAGCTGCGGCCGCAGTAGTTGCACTTGTAGGGCTTGCCCACCGTAGGGGAGGAGACTGCAAGGGAGAAAGGCAGAGCCGGGTTGGAAGCACCTGGGAAGGGCTGGATAGAGGCAAGGGGATGGAGGAGCCAGCAGGAGAAGGGCTGTGGGCGCTGCTGGAGCACTGGAATCCATCAGGATACGGCCCAAAACACCAGCACCAGGTAATGGAAGAGGTGTATCTCCGTTACACCGATGGAAGAGTGGGATTTAAGGTGCTTGGCATCCTTTGGAAAGGTCATGGATACAGGGATGCAGGCTCCAAGGGGCCAGGACCCGCCTGAGCCCGTTTTGCTCTTTTCCGGCCCCATTTTGGGGCGGTTCTGGGGTTTCCTGCAGGTTGTGGTGTGAACTGGGCTTCCCAAGCCCTGCTCCAGCTCCTGCGTTCCTGCCCCGTCCGTTCCCAGCTCCGGATGCTGATGCCGGGATCCAGGATGAGGATCCATAGGAATCAATGCGGAGAAGCCGATGAGAAGAGCGCTGGCCTGGAGCAGTGAAGATGGGTTTGCTCCACCTGCCTCCAAGCAGGATTCCCAGGCAGGAATTCACTCCCAGATCCAACCACTTGGAAGTGGAGCCTCGCTTCCCGAATTCCGCTCCAGTCCCCAAGCTCAGAGCTCTCCAGATGCCTCAGTTCTGCTCCTCCTAAACCAAGCAGCATCCCAAACCCTGTGCTCGTGCATCCCAAAGCTCCCCCCCAGTGGCTCTGTTAGGATGTGGGATGGCTTTCCAAGCCATAGGGATACCCTGAAGTTATTCCCTCGGGATCCGGTTTGGGATTCAGGGCTCAATCCTGGTGTGGAGGCTCCGTCTGCGCTTGCAGAGGGTCAGGAACGGGGTTTATGGCGGGAGGGAGGCTCCATCCTTTGCCTTGCGATCCGTGCCTTTTCCTTTCATTCCTTCCTCTGGGAATTCGCTCCCCACAACGTCCCGGTGGCCTCGGCCCCTCCATCCATCACCTCACAGGAGCTCCCAGCCAGGTCCATTGAGGATCTTCCCCCCTAAACCAGGAGCCACGGGAATGATCCCCCACGGAGAATCCTTTTACAAGCAAGTACAGGAGCAGAGGGGCAGCTCCGGGATGGATTCCTCGTGGATGGGGCCCCGGAGGAGCCGCAGCCTCTGATCTCGGCCGTGTTTGATGTGGGTTTGATCCGGGGAGCGCATCCTGCGAGATGAAAGCTCCTGCTCCCCATGGGGCTGCGCAGGGAAGGCAGAGGGAGGCTGAGCCAGGCCTGACCCAGCCTCTTCCCTCTGCAATCCCCATTAAAGCCAGGCTTTTCTTAGTAACGAGCTCCAGAAAAGCTCCTTGTGCTTGGAGATGCCGGAAGGACTCGCCCCAGATCCGTGCCTCTCCGTGAAGGGCTCCACGAGACCCTTTCCGTGCCGGGCAGCGGGGAGGCGGCAGCTCCGGATGCTCAGCGAGGGGCGAGGAGGTGGCAAAGCCCAAAGCCCCTCTTGTGAGGGGCCCCATTCCCGGCCTGGCTCCCGGATTCCTCCCCGGCATCCCCTGGGAAGCCTCAGGTGTGTGCGGGAAGGAGAGGAACTCCCGACAGGAAGAGCAAAGCGGGAAGATTCAGGCTTAAACCCGGAGCATCGCATCCTCTAACTGGGAGTTCAGGGCAAAGGAGGCTTCCAGGCCAGGCTGCGAGGGGGGAGCAGGCTCCTGGGCACGAAGAGGCTCTTCAGGGGCTGGGATTCCTCCTTTGTGGAATCATTCCCATGTTCAAACCGTCTGGATGAGCAGGAAAAGGCCCGGCAGCGCCACGAGCGGTGCGGGAATGGAGGGAGGCGATTGCCAACAGGAGTTGGCTTCACTTCAGTTCAACTTCAGTTCACTTCACTTCAGCTCACTCCCCCTGGTCCCCATCAGCTCTCACATCCCGGAGCCAGAGGGTGGGAACCACAGCTCCCAGTGTCCCATCCGAGCAAGGACAAGGTCAGAGCCAGGCAGAGCAGAACCCCTCAGGCTGGGACACGGCGCACCCAAGGGTGGGACCTCCCTGCTCCCCATAAAACCTATTAAACATTGATCTTTATAGGGAAGAGCTACCCCAACCCCCAGGAATCCGGAGCCCATAAACCAGGCACCAACCCCAGCACAGGGGCAGCTGAAGCAGCCCCGTGTTTGCCTGCTCTTGCCTTTGAATCCCTGGCGTTTGGGCCCTTGTTCCGTGCTCCTCCCCATCCCGGTACCCACCGGAGTGTGTCCGGAGGTGCCCGCTGAGCGCATCCCGCCTCCGACAGGCGTAGTTGCAGAAGGGACACTTGAAGGGCTTCTCTCCGGAGTGCAGCTTGATGTGGCGCAGGAGGTTTCCCTTCTGGGTGAAGGAGGCTCCGCACTGGTTGCAATGGAAGGGCCTTTCCCCTGTAAAACAGGAGCCAGGGGGTCAAATTCCTGCTGGGAAGCTTTGCCCATCCTCAGGGATCAGAAGCATCCCCAGCTCCAGCAGCACAGAGGGAAAGCCTGAGGTTAAGGGCACTGGGGCAGCATGGTCTGGTGTGAAGCACCCCTGCCCACAGCAGGGGGTCGGATCTGGGTGAGCCCAAGTTCATTCCCAACCCATTCTCTGGGTCTATGATGGGACCCCCAAGCTGGCGAGGCTCAGACCTGTTGCTGGTGGTTGGATGGTGAGGAGGAAACCCCATCTACACACACTTCCACGGACCTTCCCTCATCACCCCCACCTCATCCATGACACCCTCATCTCCTGTGGTGCCACCAACCATCACCCAGGTAACCACCAACTATCACCCAGGTACCACCAGCATCCCCAAGGTACCACCAGCATCACCCAGGTACCACCAGCATCCCCAAGGAACCACCAGCATCACCCAGGTACCACCAGCTTCCCCCAGGTACCACCAGCATCCCCCAGGTACCATCATCGTCATCCAGGTACCACCAGCATCACCCAGGTACCATCATCATCATCCAGGTACCACCAGCATCACCCAAGTACCACCAGCATCACCCAGGTACCACCAGCATCACCCAGGTACCACCAGCATCATCCAGGTACCACCAGCATCACCCAGGTACCATCATCATCATCCAGGTACAACCAGCATCATCCAGGTACCACCAGCATCACCCAGGTACCACCAGCATCCCCAAGGAACCACCAGCATCCCCAAGGAACCATCAGCATCCCCAAGGAACCACCAGCATCCCCAAGGAACCATCAGCATCCCCCAGCACCCCTGAGCCCCGCTCACCCGTGTGGCTGCGCTTGTGCACCATGAGCACGTTGGGGCCGATGCAGACCATGCCGCAGATGTCGCACTTCAACTTGCCATTGGGCAAGCGGATGCCACCGGGGGAATGGGGCTCCTGGCCGGGGCCGTCGCAGTAGCCCAAGGGCTCCGAGAGGGAATCCTCCACGATGACGCTGTCGTCCTTGTCCAGCATGCGCTCGTCCGGGGCCAGCAGGCGGCTGCCCTCCTCGTCGCTGTACATCTCCACCTTGATGGAGCTGGCTGCGGGGAGGCACAAGGGGTGGGATGTGAGGAAGGAGCTGGGAGCGGGGGCCCGAGGGGCCGGACCCGTGCAGATGAAGCCCTCGGTGCCGTGGGGGTGGCCTTGAGCACTGAGCATCTTCTCCATCCTAAGGCTTAAGTCCTAAAGGGACCGCTGTGGATGCGGGCGCCAGGAACTGCTCACCCGGAGCACACCAGCTCAGGGACTGGCTGCACATCCCAGAGCACTGCTCCTGTGGGAAAAGCCCTGCATTTCCCTGGATTCAAAGGCACTCAGGCTTCAGGAGCAAAGACTCTGAACTGCCACTCTCTGGAGCAGGAAAGGCTCCAAGAGCCTCACGCAGGTCTCTGTGATCCCATCTCCGTTGCTCCCAGGAACCAAAGGGAAGGGATGGGAGCCTCTGGGCACCAGGAATCCCAAGAAAGCTCCTGTGGGATGAGGGACGTGGATGCAGGGACCAAGGGAAGGTCCAGCCAAGGGCAATGAGAAGGCAGAGGTGGGAGGAGAGGGCTTCCTATGGAGGGAGAAGTGGTGCTGGGACCCCCTCAGCCTTTAAATGATCCAAGTGGGAAGCTTCCTCCTTGAAGCCATTGCCAGGGAATCCCTTGGGATGCTCCCGGGATGGGGAGAGCGGCTCCTCCTGGTTCGTGCAGGCCGGAGGAGGATGATGCTGGAGTCGAGTGGGATCCAGGGCACCCACATGGGGTATTTACAGTCTCTTTCAAGCTCAGATCCTTGTTTCTCCCTTTGGAAGCAGGAGGCTCTTCCCGATCCCTTCGGAGAACGGTGGCCACTGGAGGAACTGAACTTCACATCCCAAAGGAGCAGCTTCCAGCCCTGCTGGGGCTCGATTCCCGGGGCTCTTCCGGCTCTTTGTGAGAGCTCCAACACTCACCCGCATCCCGGGATACACTGGGAAACCCCGGCAACATCCCGGCCTTTAGAAGCTTGGTGGGGGGGCTGAACAAGCTCTTCCCATCGGCTGCGATGGGAATGCTGCTTCCCGGGAGGCTTCGGGTCACTTACTGGGCATGGAGGAGGTGGGAACACTGCAGAGGGGCTCCCAGGGCTGGGAATACCGAGAGGAAAGCTCCTCTGCCTCCAATGGAGCAGGGGGGATTAGTGAGGAGCAGCAGCATGGAAGTGATTCACCCGCGCCTGCGGGGGCTCCATTGCCGGGTGAAGAGCCCAGGAATTCCCTGGCTCCGGGCCTGCCCTTCCTGCATCCCGGGCCACACAAATGCCTTCCCTAGGAGGCTCCCAGCAACGGGAACCCGGCCCTGGCACCCAGCGCCTGTTTGCTGAGCCCTTGGCCAAAGCCAGTGCCGGAGGCTGAAGCATTCCTGCGGGTGGGAGCCAGATGGGACCGGAGCCGCCGCGCTCCCGTGGGAGCATCCAGCGGGAAGCTCCTCGCTCAATGGGGTGATGTTCCCTGGATTGTGTGTGGGGGGTTCTCTTCTCCCATTCCCTTGGGGATGCTTTATCCCAGGGTACAGAGGGAGGCCCAGCCCCGCTGTGCGAGCCCACTGCCTGCACCCGGGTTACACAAGGCAGGGCACGGCACCAGCCGGGAAGTCAAATCCCATCGGGGGCGAGAGCATCCCCAGCACCCCGGTGCTGCAGGGCACGGGGGGGGCATCGTCGTCCCGGGCCACGGCTTCCAGCAAGCACAGAGCTCAGCTCCCGAGTGCTTTGAGAGGGCAAGGAGAGAGCAAAGAGCGAGGAGCACAAGGGGGGAAAGAAGGGGGCTGGCTCGTGATGCGCTCGCTTCCGAAAGGGAATGGCTGGGGCTCTTTCATTCCAGCTCCAACGCTACGGAAAAGCCTCGTGCTCAGAGGAAGCCACAGCAGGGCTGGTGCCTGCGTCAACCCACCCCAGCCCTGGTGCCACTGATGCCCGTGGACACGCAGCATCTCGAGGCTCAGGCCCACAGGGAACGTCCCCGATTCCTCAGCATCCCCATGCCAAGGGGTTTATCCCGGTGGGAAGTCCGTGGTACGTGGGCTGGGGCAGTGCTGGGACTCACCACTGAGCGAGCGGCTCGGGGACGAGTGCTGGCTGTTGGGGGTGCTCACGGGGGGCCCCACGATGGCTGAGCTGAATTCCTTCTCCAGGGAGGAATCCCCACTGCCTTTGGGAAGAGGGAGACAGCAGTGAGTGAGGCCCCAGACGTTCCTTTGGGATGGGGCTGCTGGAACCCACGTTTGCCAGGGGCATCCTGACCCCATGCTCTGCCCAAGTCCCTTTGCCTATAACAAAGTGAGAATTCCTAAGCAGATCCTTATGGCTCCGGGAAGCCAAATCCACCCCATTGAGCCCTCAGCGCCCCACAGCAGCATCTTCTGAATGGGACCCCAGTGCCCCACAGCTCTATTGGGAAGAGGTTTCCTCTCCTCTTGGGATCACATTGGGATCGATGGGGACCCTTCCCATGCTCGAGCTCAGGGACACGCGACGGGGCTCATGGAGGGACTGAGCCCCATATGGGGCTGGTGGGGGGGGAACCTTGAGCCCCAACCCCAAAGCGCTGCTGCATGGGGTGGGAGTGCCCCACGTCGTGTTCACCTCCATGGGCATCCCCTCTGCTCCCTGCAGGCCCCTATAGCTCAGCCGGGAGCACAGGGAGTTACAGCTCCCCCTGCCCAGCGCATCCCCTGCTCGTCTTCCCGGCTCCAAGACATCCCAGGCTCCCCCCCTTGTACCTTGCTGCAGATAGCCCGGAGCGTTCTCACAGCCAACTCCTTGGAAACAGCGCTGGAGCCCCGGCTGCGGGTGCAGGTCCGCGCCGCTGCCAGGGCGCACGCAGCCGCTCACCTTCCAGGAAGAGCAGATTCCTGGAAGCCAGGGGAAAACGACCGTCATTTTCCAGGCGGCGGCACGGCAGAGCGGGAACGGCGCCGGGAAGGAGCGGGAACGGCGCCGGGAAGGAGCGGGAACGCCGCCGGGAAGGAGCGGGAACGCTGCCGGGAAGGAGCGGGAACGCCGCCGGGAAGGAGCGGGAACGCCGCCGGGAAGGAGCGGGAACGCTGCCGGGAAGGAGCGGGAACGCCGCCGGGAAGCAGCGGGAATGCCGCCGGGAAGGATGCTGCGTGCCAGGGATGCTGCGGCCGCTCCCCTGGCAAGGATGCTGCGTGCAGGGAGAGGGTACCAGGGCTGCTGTGCCCACCACCAGGGAATGTCGGTGGGGAAAGGGGGACTGGGTGCGTGCAGGGAGAAGCTCAACAGCCTGGAATGCCAGCGGGAATAAGGGGATGTCGTGTGTGGATGGAGAGGAGCAGCATCCCAGTGTCACCCCACTCACTGGGATCCGATCCTTTGGTGGTAGGATGGGGACAGTGGGGTAAAAGCAGCTCACACTGAGCCCCCCCCAACACCCCCAGATACGGGGACGTGCATCCGTATGGAATACCACACACACAGGGACGGACCTCAGTGGCAGCTCCCACCCCACAGCAGGACCAAACCCGGACCCAGGGCTCACTGACAACCCCCAGCGATGCTGAGGGCAGGAAGAACGTGATCCACATCCCATTCCCAGCTCCTGCCCATTCCCAGGTGGCGGAGAACAGAGCCTCAGGAAGGAGGAAAACCAAGTTCATTTCTCCTTGATCCCTTTCTGCTGCCCTGTTTTCAGCTCCTTTGTGAGCCAGCTTCATCCTCAGATCCCAAAGGAACCCTCTGATCCCAAAGGAGCCTCCTTATCCCGAAGGAGCCTCCTTATCCCGAAGGAGCCCCAATCTCAGCACCAAGAGCTGATCCTTCCTGAAACAGGGAAGAGCTCCCCTGCTCCCCACAGACCTCAGGCAGGATCCCCGCAGCCGGGATCGGGATCAGACACCGGGATACCCCGGGAAGGTGGGAGCTGAAGCCCATCCCAGTGCTGGGAGCCCCCAGTTTCCCCCCTTCACACTGGAGATCCCAGGAAACACTGGGTCACGATTCCTGTGTTCCACAATTCCCACAGGGAAATCCAGCTCTAGGCCAGTTATCTGAGGAGCTCTGCTCTTTGCATCCTCAGGGCCCCATTGCCAGGCTCCAATCCTTACCCTATGGACGAGCTGATCCCTGTTTTCCTGCCCCGATCCCGGGCAGCACCAGGCTCCACTCCCCACGTTCCAAAAGGAAAACCCGCAACGCCGCTCTTCCCTCTGCCACCCTTTAACCATTCCCTTCCCTGCCTGGAAAGCTGGATCCCAAAAGGGATTCAGGCTCTTGTGCTCCAGGAAGCTGGGAGCAGCCACGTGGAGCAGGATCAGGCACCTCGGGATCCTCTGGGATCAGAGGGGATCCTTGGGGGAAGGAGGAACTTTACCAGGGTGGGCAGCAGGTCCTGGGATTCCCAGGCCGCCTGCGCTCATCCCATTGGATCCAAAGCACTTCCTCCCTGCTGAGCTGGGTTCGCTCTAATCCCACTCTTATCCCAAGCAAAGGTGTTTCCCATCCCAGAGATAAGAACAAATCCCACCAAAGCGCCCGGGCCGGGTTCCTGCAGGACACCAGATAAGCTTCATCCCTATCAGTGTCCCAGCGTTCCCTATGGACACCGGGGCTGCGATCCCAGCACAGCTGATCCCAGCAGGCTGGTATCCAGGGAAGCTCCATCCATGCATCCATCTCCTGCTCTTCCAAGATCCAGGGGTGAACTCCCAACTACCTCCAGGGCAACGACACAAGGGGGAGCAGCTTCCAGGGGGATAAGAAACCTGGAAAGGGGCTTTGGATACGGGATGGAGGGACAGGACAAAGGGAATGCCAGAGGGGAGACTGGGATGGGATGGGATGGGAGGAGGAATCCTCCCCGTGAGGGTGGTGGGACATGGAATGGCTTCAATGGAGAAGGTCTGGATGCTCCATCCCTCTTCGAGGGAGCAACCTGGTCCAGCGGATGGCTTAATCCCAAAGGATGAGCCTGAGCATCCCAAATCCATCAGGATCCCAAAGGAGCCAACGCAACACCTACCAGAGATGTAGGATCGCCCGTTACAGTCTTCGATATCCATCTTGAAGGGATTTGCCTGGAATGGAAAGCAGAGCACGGTCATCTCCCGCCCTCCGGGACACATGGAATCACCCCAGGGAATGGGAATGTGCCCAGCTCCCCCAGGATAAGGCTTTCATTCAGCTTCAATCCCAAACCAGCCCCGTTTTCCAAGCAGGAATGGGGCTCAAGCAGCACTTGAGGGGTTGGAAATGCAGGAGAACACCTAAAACCAGTGAGGATTTGTGTCCTTGGGAAGGGAAAACCAATGGGATCCGGAGCCACGAGAGATGGAGACACCGGGACACAGACACCGGGATACTGAGCCCTCGACCCGCTCCCGATCCACAACTAAAAGGTGCCCCATATCCCGGGCACGGAGGGAATCCAACCAGGATTCGGGAGCCGCATCCTGGAACACCGGCACCGTTCCCTTCCCTTCCCTGCCATCAGAAGGAAAGGGAGCATTCCAGAGTTCCCTTTCCCACTGTTAACTTCATGGGATGAAGTAACTGAGGCTGGAACCACAGCAGCCCCTCACTGATCCCTATGGAGCAGAGGCCTGGCAGACCCGGAGCAGGGCCAAACCCCCATGCTCCAGGAGCACATCCCTGTCTCGGGCCTTTCTTCCCGGCTTTCCGGAGCAACCATCCCATTGGGAATGCGGCGCTGGAAGTAGAGCAGAGGGAGTGCCTGAAATGAGGCCTTTTCCCTATGGAAAAGAAATCAAAGGCCTCAGAATTAGCCCAGATGAAGAAAGCTCCATCACGGTATCCCGGTGGGATGCGATTTGGGAATGTCCTTCGAGCAGGGAGAGGCTGCAGCCGTGGCCAGGAACATCCCAGAGATGGGAATTCTCCCCTCCCCTGAGCTTCTGCCCCTCTGCCCCGAGGTCTGGATCCGGCTGGAAGCAGAGTGGGATGAGCCGGAGCTCGGGATGGGCGCTCGGAGCCGTCCGCAGGGGAAGGATTAGTCAGGGCTGGAAAGTGGCTTCATCCCAGTTCCAGGCTTTCCCAACGGGAGGAGGCTTTTTCCACCCCTGAGGAACGAAGCGGCTGCTCTGAACGCCGGGAATGCTGCAGGAGCCAGTGCGGGGACCTTCCAAAGGGATGGTGATGGGATGCAACGCCGCGGCCGAGGAGGGACCATTCCGAGCCAAGCAGTGGGAATATTCCCAGAGAAATTCCAGGCTCCCAGATAGCCAAACTCAAGCGGAGGGTGCTCCGGTTATCCACGGGATCCCATATCCCACAGAACAGCCCCATTCCCCTGGGAATGTGCTCCGGTTATCCACGGGATCCCATATCCCACAGAACAGCCCCATTCCCCTGGGAATGTGCTCTGGTTATCCACGGGATGCCATATCCCACAGAACAGCCCCATTCCCCTGGGAATGTGCTCCGGTTATCCACGGGATCCCATATCCCACAGAACAGCCCCATTCCCCTGGGAATGTGCTCCGGTTATCCACGGGATCCCATACCCCACAGAACAGCCCCATTCCCCTGGGCAGTGGGCAAATCCGGCTGCAATTCCCGACCTTCCTACAAAGGGAAAGGGGGCAGAGAGGGGGAACCCCCCTGAGGGTGCGGATCAGGCAGCAAAGCGGGAATGGGATTCCTCAGCCCCGTTCACTGCTCCCGGCTGGAACAGCGCTGGATCCATGGATACCCCCGGCTTTGGAAGGCAGCTGCTGGAAACGGCAGGGATTTGGATCCCAAAGCAATGCAGGGATCGTTTCCTGCGGGGCTTTGCCCCGTTGTGTCCGTAGGAAGGAAGCTCCCGCTCCTGCCCGTTCCGGGATGGACGGATCCCGGCAGAGACGCGCTGGATCCTCGACGCTCCCGAGCTCTGCAATGGATCCTCCTGGGGCTCAGCCCCGATCCCGCGGTCCCCATCGGGAGCAGCGCCCGATCCCGAGCTCCCTCGAGTCCGTGGGAGCAGAAGCCGGGATGAATCCCGGCCGCGGGACGCACCCAGGCTCCGGATGCAGCGGGAACGAGCTCCCGGGGCAGCCGCTTCCCCTCGCGCCCCCTCATCCCGTGGGGACGAGATCCCGCACGGAGCAACCGGGAGCAAGGTCCCGGCTCCAGCCCCCAGGGCACCGGGACCGCATCCAGCGCCGGGAAAACCCCTCCCGGAGCGGGAAGCACCGGGAAGCGGCTCCCCCCGTTCCCAAGGGGCCATTCCCTGACCCCCCCATCCCAACCCCGTACCCCACGGGGGGGGCAGGACACGACCCAACCCCATCCCCGAATTCCATTGGGATCCCGCTCCCCCCCCATGTCCCGGAGCCCCCCCGTGGTTGAGCCCATTCGTCCCAACGGGGGGGGGGGGGAGTTTAAATCCCCCCCCCCCAAAGGGGGCAGATTTGGGCCCCCCCCCCCAATGGACGCCCCCAACCCCCCCGCCCCCCTCCCGTTGCCGCCCCCCCCCGCCCCCGCTCTCACCGGCGGGTGGGGGCAGGGCCCCCCCGGTTCCGCCCGGGCCGCGGGGGGGGGTCACGGGCGCGGCGGCGGCGGCGGCTCCACCTGAGCAGGGCCCGGGCCCCCCCCCGCGCCCGCCCGCCCGCCCCGAGCCACTTCCGGCCCCCGCCGCAGCCAGGCCGCGCAGCCGAGCGCCGATGCTGTCGAGCCGCCGCCGGGAGGGGGGCGACGCGGCCGCCATGGGCTAACACGGGGAGGGGGAAGCAGTCGAGCGCCGATGAATCGAGCGGTGAACAGGGGAGGGCAGAGGAGCGCCGAGTGGGGAGGGGGGGAGCGGGGAGAGCCGAGGGCATCGATGGGCCCCGCGGGTTGGAGCGGTAATCGATAGCCGATAACGGAGAGGCGATAACCGATACGGCGGGGACGGGCTCACGGCACAACGAGAGCCCCCCACGGGGAGGCTGCAGGGTTCTATAGGTCCGGGGGGGTCCCATAGGGCCATGGGTTTGTATGGGGAAAGGGAGCTGTACAGGCACAGGAGGTCCTGTAAGGTCATGGGGGTTATGTAAGGTCAGGGGGGTTATGCCAGGTCACAGGGTTCCATGGGGTTACAGGTCCCACAGGGTCAGGAGGATACATGGGGTCACCGGGGTCCCATAGGGTCAGTGTTATATAGGGTCAGGGTTACATAGGGCCAGAGAGCCCCGTAAGGTCAGAGAGTCCCATAGGGTCAGGGGTCCCACAGGGTGAGTGTCCCACAGCACCAGTGGCTTACACAGGATCCCAGTGAGACCCAGGTCACCTGGCGACAAAAAGGTCCCTCTGCTGTGGGACCACTGGGCTGGGGGGCGTCTCCCAGACCCACCCCCTGTATCCCACCCCATCCAATCCCACCCCCCCATCCCATCTGCTCTCATCCCACCCCATCCCACCCCATCCATCCCATCCCACCCCCTGTATCCCATCTCATCACATCCCACCCCATCCATCCCATCCCATCTGTTCCCATCCCACCCCATCCATCCCATCCCACCCCCTGTATCCCACCCCATCCATCCCATCCCACCCCCTGTATCCCACCCCATCCATCCCACCCCACTGCTCCCATCCCACCCCATCCATCCCATCCATCCCATCCCATCCTGTCCCCGCTCTGTCCCCGGAACCTCCGAGTCCATAAAAGCTTCACAATCTTTATGGAGCCACTTTCACACGTCGGGGGCCATAAACAGCCGCGACCTTCGCTCCGCGGCACGGGGCAGGAGGGGAGGGGGGGGAGCCGCAGCGGCTCAGCGGGTGACGGTGACCCGGACGCGGTGCCAGGCGTTGCTGAGGACCCCGCGCAGGTTCCAGATGGGTGCCACGGTGTCGGGCTGGACGTTGTAGCTCCCGTCCACGGCCTTGCACACGATCTCCAGCTCCGCGCCCGCCGCCACCGGCGCCCGCAGCTCCCAAAGCCTCCAAGCCCAGGCGCGACCCAGCTCTTGGCGCTCGCCCTCCAAGCGTGCCACGTGCCAGCTGCGGCCCCCGTCCAGGGACACGTCCACCCGCACCACGTCGCGCCCGCCGCCGCTCCACGCGTACCCCTTCACTGTCAGCTCCCCCGGCGGCACGGCCGCGCCGGGGCGCGGGTGGGTGATGGCCGATTGCACCGGCAGCTCCTGGATGGCGGGCGCCGCGCTGTAATCCACCGAGTCCCAGTCCACGCAGGGCGAGAAGCCCTTGTAGTCGTTCTGCTGCCAGTGGCTGGGGCTCTCGGCCGCGCTCACCGCCACCCGCGCCAACCACTTGACGCTGCGGGCGCCCACCACGCCGGGCACCACGACGCGCACGGGGAAGCCGTGGTCGCGGGGCAGCTCCTCGCCGTTCATCTCGTAGGCGAGCAGGACGTCGGCGCCGGTGCTGATGGCGCGGCCGTAGGGGATGGAGGCGCCGTAGGGAGCCCCGCCGGGGCCGGCGTCGAGCCCCTCGAAGCACACGTGCCACTCGCCGACACGCTCCTCGCCGAAGCCGGCCTGGAGCAGCACGTCCCGGAGCCGCGCTCCCCCCCAGCGCGCGGTGCCGATGGCGCCGATGTCCCAGGGCAGGCCCTGGACGGGGCGCACGCGGCTCATCTCGGAGCGCCGGTTCCCGGCGCACTGCAGCGTCGCCGTCACCTCGTGCTTGGGGAAGCGGCTCCGCAGCTCCGACAGCGACAGCGCCAGGACCCGGCCCTCCGGGCCCTCCACGCGCAGCCGGTACGAGGCCGGGTCCACCGCCGGCACCGGGAGGTGGTTCCGGGTGAAGAAGAGCTCGTTGGGGGTCAGGAAGCGCTCGGTCAGCAGCTCCGCGGGGGTCTCGGCGTTGAACGGCTTCCGGCTGCTGATGCGCAGCCCCGGGTGCCGAGGCGGGTCCCCGGCGAACGGGTCCTGAGCGGCGGCGGGGTCCGGGGGGGGCTCGTCGGGGCTGAGCTCCCCCACCTTGAACTCCCGCAGCAGCTCCCGGACGTGGGGCTCGTTGTGGACGGCGTAAAGGGCCCAGAAGGGCTCCAGGGCGCCCCCGGCCGCCAGCAGCAGCTTCTCGGCGCCGCCGGGGTGAAGCTCCACGAAGTCGGTGACATCGAAGACGTCGGTGCCGTGCGTGACCCAGACGCGGTCCTGGGGGGAGCGGTGCCTCCCCACCTCCTCCCGTGTGTACCGGGGGTACCGGCGGCTCGGGGGGGCCTGCGCCGCCTGCGCGACCTGCGGGACCCCATCAGTGCCCGGGGCCGCCCCCGTTCCGCCGGTGCGCACACCCCCCCCCCCCCCCGGTGCCCCCTCGCTACTCACCCTCCGCCGTCGCTCCCCATAGGCCAGCGCAGCTCCGAGGCCCAGCAGCGCCGCCAGCACCGTAGCCGCCCCCCGCCGGTCCCCCGCGGCCGGGTTACCGGGGGTGAAGCGGGAGCAGCCGCGGCGGGGCAGCGGGAGCCTGCGGGAGGAACGGGGCTAGGACCGGTAACGGGGAAAGGGGGCACCGAGGAGAAAGGGGGGGGGGGGGTCCCGACGGGGCGGGTCCTACCTGTGCCCAGCGGCGATAGCGGCAGCGCGGAGCAGCAGCATCGCAGCGGGACCTGCACGGGAGACAGCGGCTGGGGCGGGCACCGGGCATCGCTCGACCGGGAACCGGCCCCGAGGGGAGCGGGCAGCGGGGACCCCCGCCGGGCATCCCTCCCTCCTCCCGCCCCTTCGCTCCGGTGCCTCCCCCGGGTCCCGTCCCGGACCCGCCGCGAACCTGCGTAGCAATTCCAGTTGCGCGACGTCCTGCGCAGCGCTGCCCCTTTAAGAGACGAGAGGTGGGCGTGGCCTCCGGTGAAGCCACGCCCCTTAGGGTGAGGTGGGCGTAGCCAAGCAGCTCCGGGGGTCCCACTGGTGTGCGGGGGGGGCGCGCTTAAAAGGGCAACAGCAGCGCGGCTTAAAGGGGCAACGCACTTAAAGGGGCCGCGGCACCTCCCGGTGGGCAGCGGCGGTGGGTGCCGTTGTTGACCGGAGCCACCGCCCCGCTGGGCGCCGCGATAAGCGTTATCGGGACAGGACCGGCGACGGCAGGCGGCGGAGCCCCGCATCCCGCCCTGGGCACACACAGGCGGGGTGGGTCGAGCCCCGTTGGCTCCCGTGGGCTGGGTTTTACGTCCATGAACGGCGTGGGGAAAGGAGGGGCCGAGCTCGGGTCTCAAGGTTGTTATTGAACCGCGATGGAGGCGCTCCCTCGAAGCCAAAATCATTATAATTATAATAAGAATGACCAGGAGAGGGGATGGGGGGCGGGGGGGGGGGTGGGGGGGAAGCTGCAGCGTGACCCCAAACCAGGACACAGTGGGGGAGAAAGAGGGGGCAAAAATAGGGACCCCTGCAATAGGGGGCTTCATACGAGACGGGTCCCTCTGCCCCACAGCCATGGGTAGGGTGGGCCCCCCCATGCCGTGCGCAGCCTGAGCCCACGGGGAGAGCAGGAGCTGGCCCCTGGGGTGAGCCCCATTGGGGTGTCCCCCATTGGGGTGTCTCAATGGGGCCCTTTTGGCTGCTGGGACCTGGGAGCATCCCAATGCTCCGCAGAGTTCCTGCGGCTGGGAATGCTCCAGGAGAAGCCAAACCCTGGGGGCTCCGAGTGGGGTGGGGGGGGCAAAGTGAACCCAAACCCCACCAAGGTGCATCCGAAGGGGACGTTTCCGTGACTAAAGTGCAAACCGGAGACGCCGGCACCGGCTGGGGAGGAACCGTGGGGAGAGCCGGGGCGGGGGGGGGCTCCTCATGGCCCCATCACCGCGGCGTTCCCATCCTCCGGCCAGAGCCGGGAATCAAGGCCACCCATAGGAGGAAGCGAGGGCGCTGCAGCTTCCCTCCCTCCACATCGAGGCAAAGAGGAGGAGGAGGAAAAAGGGATGGGGGGGGGGGGGAATAATAAAAATAAGGAAAATCCAACAGAAATCCGTGAAAGACCCCACGGAAATTCCCGCATTCCCGCAGCTGGGAAGCTCCAGAAGGAGGGAGCCGGCGGGAGCTCGGGTCGCTGCGGGCACCTATGATACAAAGTGAGGAAGAGTCTGGATTCCCATCCCAAGTCCGATCCGCAGCCGACGGAGCTCCCGGGAGCAGCGGCGGTGGAAGCGGCTCAAAGTGTGGTGAGGGGCACGGTGGGGCCTGGTGGTGGTGGTGGGGGCGCCGGGGGGGGGCGTGGATGGAGAACGGGGGTCCCGGCTCGGCCTCAGTTGCTACAACACTGGCTCCTGTGCTGCTGGCTCTGCTCGTGCAGGTCCACGCCGCGGCCCCGGCCGCCGGCCCCGCTCGTGCTCTGGGGATCGCTCTTTGGCAGCTTCTTGGCTGGAAAGGGAAGGAGGAAGAGGAGGTGATGGCGCCTGGGAGGGGGTCCGGAGGCCACGGGGATGGGCTCCCACTGAGTGGCAAAGAGGGGGGGGACGCAGGGGATGCAGGGGTGGGCCCCAATGCATCAGAACCATGGAATGGGTTGGAAGTCATGGAATGGGTTGGGTTGGAAGTCATGGAATGGGCTGAGTTGGAAATCATGGAATGGTTTGGGTTGGAAATCAGGGAATTTTTGGGTTGGAAGTGACCTTAAAGCTCATTCAGTTCCAACCCCTGCCATGGGCAGGGACACCTTCCACTAGAGCAGCTTGCTCCAAGCCCCTGTGCCCAACCCGGCCTTGAAGAGGGATGGGGAATCCAAACCTTCCCCATTCAACCCATTCCATGTCCCACCACCCTCACAGGGCAAAACTTCCTCCTCAGATCCCACCTCCATCTCCCCTCTGGCAGGTTAAAGCCATTCCCTTTGTCCTGCCCCTCCATCCTTCATCCAAAGCCCCTCTCCCGGTTTCCTGCTTTAAGGTCCCCCTGGAGCCCTCTCCAGGCTGGACCAGCCCAGCTCAGCCTGTCCCTACGGCATCATCCCCACCTTCCCATCCCTGCATCCCTGCATCCCTGCGGCTCCCCCCCGCTCACCGATGGCCAGGAAGAGGTCATTGACGTTCATCGCCGTCTTGGCCGACGTCTCCATGAACAAGAGGCTGTTGTCATCTGCGTACGCCTGAGCCTCCTGGAACGCACCCATGGGAGGCGTGAGGCTCCAGCAGCACCCAGTGGGGACGGGGCTGGGGACGGGTGGTGGCACCCAGCACGCCCTCACCTCGTACTCCACCATGCGCTTGCTGGCCAGGTCGGCTTTGTTGCCGGCCAGGGCGATGACGATGCTGGGGCTCGCCTGGCGCTGCAGCTCCTTCACCCATGTCTTGGCCCGCGCAAACGTTTCCTAGGAGCAGAGGGGGACCCAGGGCTCATCCCAGGGGGGCTCAGAGGGACCCCCATTGAGGAAACAGCCCCCAGCACCCCCCTCCTAAAGCTCCCTGATGGGGGCCCTACCTGGTTGGTGATATCATAGACCACGATGGCGGCCTGGGCCCCCCGGTAGTACATGGGGGCCAGGCTGTGGTACCGCTCCTGCCCGGCTGTATCCCAGATCTCGAACTTGACCGTTGTGTCATCCAGGCAGACGGATTGTGTGAGGAATGCCGCTGTCCGGATGGGTAACGGCGTCAGGGCCGTTATCCCAGGGCATCCCAAACCCCACCACAGCTCCCCCTGCATCACACTAGCAGAGCATCCCCTGCATCCCAAACCCAACCAGAGCATCCCCAGCATCCCAAACCCAACCAGAGCATCCCCTGCATCCCAAACCCAACCACAGCTCCCCTGCATCCCAAATCCAACCAGAGCATCCCCAGCATCCCAAATCCAACCAGAGCATCCCCTGCATCCCAAACCCAACCACAGCTCCCCTGCATCCCAAATCCAACCAGAGCATCCCCAGCATCCCAAACCCAACCAGAGCTCCCCCTGCATCCCAAACCCAACCAGAGCATCCCCTGCACCAGAGCATCCCCTGCATCCCAAACCCAACCAGAGCATCCCCAGCATCCCAAACCCAACCACAGCATCCCCAGCATCCCAAACTCAACCAGAGCATCCCCTGCATCCCAACCCCAACCACAGCATCCCCAGCATCCCAAACTCAACCAGAGCATCCCCTGCATCCCAACCCCAACCACAGCATTCCCTGCATCCCAAACTCCACCAGAGCATCCCCTGCATCCCAAATCCAACCAGAGCATCCTCTGCATCCCAAATCAAACCAGAGCATCCCAAATCCAACCAGAGCATCCCCTGCATCCCAAATCCAACCAGAGCATCCCCTGCATCCCAAACCAAACCACAGCTCCCCTGCATCCCAAATCCAACCAGAGCATCCCCTGCATCCCAAACCCAACCAGAGCATCCCCTGCATCCCAAACCCAACCAGAGCATTCCCTGCATCCCAAACCCCACCAGAGCATCCCTTGCATCCCAAACCCAACCAGAGCATCCCCTGCATCACAAACCCAACCAGAGCATCCCCTGCATCCCAAACCCAACCACAGCTCTCCCTGCATCCCAAATCCAACCAGAGCATCCCCAGCATCCCAAATCCAACCAGAGCATCCCCAGCATCCCAAATCCAACCAGAGCATCCCCTGCATCCCAAACCCAACCAGAGCATCCCCAGCATCCCAAACCCAACCAGAGCATCCCCTGCATCCCAAACCCAACCAGAGCATCCCCTGCATCCCAAACCCAACCAGAGCATCCCCTGCATCCCAAACCCAACCAGAGCATCCCCTGCATCCCAAACCAACCAGAGCTCCCCCTGCATCCCAAACCCAACCAGAGCATCCCCAGCATCCCAAACCCAACCACAGCATCCCCAGCATCCCAAACTCAACCAGAGCATCCCCTGCATCCCAACCCCAACCACAGCATTCCCTGCATCCCAAACCCAATCACACCTCTCCCTGCATCCCAAACCCAACCAGAGCATCCCCTGCATCCTAAATCCAACCAGAGCATCCCCTGCATCCCAAATCCAACCAGAGCATCCCAAATCCAACCAGAGCATCCCAAATCCAACCAGAGCATCCCCTGCATCCCAAATCAAACCAGAGCATCCCAAATCCAACCAGAGCATCCCAAATCCAACCAGAGCATCCCCAGCACCCCAAACCCAACCAGAGCATCCCCTGCATCCTAAATCCAACCAGAGCATCCCCAGCACCCCAAACCCCACCAGAGCATCCCCTGCATCCCAAATCCAACCAGAGCATCCCAAATCCAACCAGAGCATCCCCAGCACCCCAAACCCCACCAGAGCTGGGCGCAGGGGCTCAGGCTCCTAGGGAATGGGAGCCGGGACCAGGATCCCGACTCACCTCCAATGGTGCTCTCCTGGTACTCGTGGAACTGGCCCTTGACGAAGCGCAGCACCAGGCTGGATTTGCCCACGGCCGACTCCCCCAGCAGCACCAGTTTGAACTGACAGATCTTCCCGGCTTGGGACTGCCCGTTCGGCCTGGCGGCGCCTCGGCTGCTCATGGCCCCCGCTTCGCTGGGAATGCCGCGGGGTGTCCGTGCGGGAAGGGTCCGCTCGCTCCTCCTGCAAGGAGGGAAGAGCCGTCGGGACCTGGGATCTCTTCCCCCGCCCCGGCTCCTCCATTTCCAAAGGGGTCGAGCGGAGCGGATCCAGGAAGCCGGGATCCTCGCAGCGAGGAGGCTGGGAGTGAGTCAGCAGCGCTGCGGCGCTGCCGGGCACGGCGCTGGAGACCGGGAGCCAGGAGGAAAGGGATGGGAACAGCTCCCGGCTCTGCCCCGGCATTCCTCAGCGCTGGAATGGGGGGGGCCGTTCCCCCTGTTTGTGCTCAGGCACTGTGAATGCTGCGGCTTCCCAAGGGAAGGAGGAGGAAGCAGATGGGGGGGGGTTCCATTGGGAATGATCTCGCTCATAACATTCCAGTGGGAGCAGAGGCTTGGGAGCGCTGGATAAGGCCAGACCCAAGCGGGAAGTTGGAGGATGCCGGTGCCGGTTCCCCTTCCCCATCCGCCTCAAGGGGCTGCTCTAACCCGGCAGGAAACCCTCCCTGACCCGGGCACGCACAGCATGGAGCATCCCTGGATCCACCGGGAGCAGCGGGATCCCCCTCAGGCACAGCACAGGGAACGCCACTGCCCGGCTCCGGCAGGAATCCTGCCCGTCTGATCCATAAAGCATCGGGAATACACACGGATGAGGTTCGGGATCACCCCGGGCCAAGTGTTCCTCAGGGGCTGAGGGTTTCCCAGTGTTTTAAGGGCTCGGAGCAGATCCGGGATACAGGGAACAGCACCGGGAGCATCCCGGCTCCATCGCCCTCACAGCACATGGAGGGATCCAACCGGCAGCGCACCAGGAGCGGCCGCCCCGTCCCGGTGCCCATGGAGGGGCCAGCTCCAGAATCCGCTCTGGGAATGGATCCACCTCTCCAAGGCTGATCCCACTTCCTTCAGGGAAGGGGCTGGATCCTTCCTTCCCTCCCAGGATGATTCTGGGAGCAGCCCCATCCACATCATCCCACCTCCACCGCTCGCTCCATGCGGGTTTCCAACACCAGATCCCATCCTCCCGGAATGGATCCCAGGCTATTCCTAAGGGACGAGCTGCCAGGCCTGGGATGGGAATGGTCGCTGGCCATTGGCACAGCCCCACAGCGCCTTTTCCAGCCCTCTGGAACCACACGGATCCAGACCCTCCCATCCACCCCTCGATGCATCCCACCGGGATTAAGGAAGCTCCAACCGGGGCACCTCAGCCCCCGGGATCAGCAGCATTCCCGGGACGGCCCGCATGGATCATCCCATCCCAACGGGATCCCGGCGGCACCGGGTCACGGCGTCACCGCGTCCCCCCCCCGCCCCGGCCAAGCGGCTTCCCCGTTGCCGCTATCACCGCTCCTATGCCCGGTACCGGAGGGGGGGGGGGAGCGGAGCAAACCAGAGCCACGAAGCCCTCACCGTGGGGTTCAATGAAGGGACCCGGTTCCGGACCCCCCCCCCCCGGTACCCCGGAATGGATCCTCCCGCTGCGGGGTGGGGGGGTGCGGACAGGTCCCGGTGCCGCGGCCCCCCCCAGCCCGGGGCACGGAGCTCCCGTACCCCCCCCCCGGTCCCGGTGCCCCCCCCGGTACCTCAGCGCCCGGCCCGGCCCTCCCGTCGCGGCCCCGGAGCGCACAAACAGCGGCTCCGCCAACCCCTCCTGCCGCGGGCGGGATGAAGGCGCGGCTCAGCCAATCAGATGCTCGCAGCGGGGTGGAGGACACGCCCCTACCGCTCGGCAGCACCAATGGGAAGGAAGGGGCAGCGCGTCATCGCCCCGCCCCGCGTAAGGAGACCAATGGGAGAGGAAGGGGAGCGCGTCAGAGCGCCGCTCCGGGTAGGGCAGCCAATGGGAGAGGGAGACAGGGCGGATGGGCAGCGCGATGGCCAATGGGAGCGAGGAGAGCGGGTGGCCAATGGAAGGGAGGGATGGCGGTGAAGGAGGGCGAGCACGGGGTGAACGGCGGGGCGCGGAGCCAATGGGAAGAGGCGGCACCGCGCAGGTGGGCGGCACCAACAACAAATAAGGTGACCTCGGGGGCGGAGCGCCGCCACCGCACGGGCCAATGGGGACGCGGGAAGCCAGAGCAGGAGCAGAGCGCAGCCAACGCGAGGCCAGCGGCGCGATGACGATGCGGTGCTCGCAGCCAATCACAAGAGCGCTTCCCATGATTGACAGAAAAGGGCGAGCCGCGCCCTCTCCGGCCCCACCCACCCCACTCCAGCCAATAGGAGCGCGGCAGAAGGCGAGTGGGAGTGGCCAATTGAGGGGTGTGGATGGGGCGTGACCTCACCGCGGTGGGCGGGGCCGGGCGCTGCCACGCACCGCCCCATGGGGGGGGTTTCGGGCCCATGTAGGGGCGCGGGGGCACCCATAGCGCTGTGGGGAGTGGGGGCACAGCCCATGATGGGGATGGGGGCGCTGACAGAGGGGTCCGGGGGGGTCCTATGGGTGCCCCCCCCCCACTGCACACAGAGCCTGACGTTAGCTACAAAACTGCAAAGTTACAAAAGTCACAAAGAAAAGGGGGGAGAAGTGGGGGGGGGACGACCCCAAACAGGGCCATGGGGGGGTGTGGAGGGGGGGACACAAACACAACCCCCAGCCCTGGGGTGAGGAGGATGGGGATGAAGATCCCCCCCCATACCTAATACTGGTGGCAGCTCTCCCCCCCCCTTTGTAAGTGCCACAAGTCCAGGTTGGGGGGGGGCTCCCTCCACATGAAGACCCCCAGAGGGGGGAAGGGGCTGTGGCTGCATCCCAGCGATGCTCCATGGATGGCTCCTATGGGGAGGGTCAGCCCCGTACCCCCCCCCCCAATTCACCCCATGGTCCCACCCGGGGCGCACCACTCAGAGGCGCAGGTGGGGGACGGTGCGGGTGACATCGTGGAAGAAGGGGTGTCCCAGCGCCGCCTTGGCCGAGATGCGCTTGTTGGGGTCGTAGTGCAGCATTTGCTGGGGGGGGATAGAGAAAGGGGGGGATTAAGAGGGGGGTCCCTGTTGTATCCCCCCCCTTCAATGGGGACCCCCCCGTACTCACCGCTAAGAGCTTGCGCCCCTCCTCCTCGAGGGGTGGCACCACCTTGGTGAAGTCCTGGCGGGCCCACTTGGGGAAGGTGGGTTTGTAGTCGGGCATGGCCGTGACCCCCGGCCACGCGGCCTCGTCCGGCGTGCCCAGCGTGCGGAAGATGCGGAAGAGCTGGTCGATCTCCGAGTCCCCCGGGAAGAGCGCGCGGCGGGTGATCTGCGCCCAGCGGCACCCAATGGGATCAGCCCCGTCCCGGGGGATCCAATGGGATCAGCCCTGTCCCGTAGGATCCAATGGGATCAGCCCCCCCCCCCAACCCCATCCCGTGGGATCCAATGGGATCAGCCCCGTCCCGTGGGATTCAATGGTATCAGCCTCCCCCAACCCCGTCCCATGGGATCCAATGGGATCAGTCCCCCCCAATCCCATGGGATTCAATGGGATCAGCCCCCCCCCAACCGCTTCCCGTGGGATTCAATGGGATCAGCCCCCCCCAACCCCATCCCGTGGGATTCAAGGGGATCAGCCCCCCCCAACCCCATCCCGTGGGATCCAATGGGATTAGCCCCCCCCAATCCCGTCCCGTGGGATCCAATGGGATCAGTCCACTCCAACCCCATGGGATCCAATGGGATCAGCCCCCCGTCCCGTCCCGTGGGATCCAATGGGATCAGCACCCCCCCAACCCCATCCCATGGGATCCAATGGGATCAGCCCCCACAACCCCGTCCCATGGGATCCAATGGGATCAGCCCCCGCAACCCCGTCCCGTGGGATCCTATGGGATCACCCGTGTGAGCGCTCACACCGGTGCCTCGTGACACCCCCCACGGCTGGGGGTCAATGGGGGATGCGGTTGGGACGCGTGATGGGCACCCCCCGGGAGCAGCTCACATGACAGCCATGAAGTGCCTTTGATCCCAGCTCCATTCAGGGATGGGATGGGACGGGATGGGATGGGTAGAACTCACCCCATAGATCCCAGGGGCACCCCTTGGACCCCAATGTCACCCACAAAGCCCCTCTGATCCCAGCTCCATCATGGAGGCACTGGCGTCAACGGGATGGGAAGAAACCAACCCATAGACGCACCCCTTGGACCCCAATGTCACCCACAAAGCCCCTTTGATCCCAGACCCATCAGGGAGCCACTGGTGTAAATGGGATGGGATGGAAAAGACAGAACCCACCCCATGGATGCTGGGGGCACCCCTGGGACCCCAACATCACCCCCAAAGCCCCTCTGATCCCAGCCCCACACCGTGCGGTTCCACTGCAATGGGATGGGCAGAACCCACCCCATGGATGCTGGGGGCACCCAGCGGTGGGGGGCGTGGGGGGGCCCCATCCATCACCCACCATCTCGGCGAAGATGCAGCCCAGGCTCCAGATGTCCACCGCTGTCGAGTAGTACTTGCACCCCAGGAGGATCTCGGGCGCGCGGTACCAGAGGGTCACAACCTGCCGCAAGGGGACACATGATGGGCACCGGGTCCCCACTGGCACCCCCAGGGCGACCCCCCCAGCGCCTACCTCATGGGTGTAGGTGCGCACGGGCACCCCGAAGGCGCGGGCCAGGCCGAAGTCGGCCAATTTGATGGCACCGTCGGTGTTGATGAGCAGGTTCTGGGGCTTGAGGTCGCGGTGCAGCACGCGGTGAGCGTGGCAGAAGGCCAGGCCCTGCAGCAGCTGGAACAGGTAACTCTATGGGGACGATGGGGGGGTCAATAGGGAGGTGGGGTGACCCCCCCGCCCCACATCGTGGTGACCCCCACACACACACCTTGATGAGGGGCAGCGCGATGCCGCTGAGGGATGAGGAGTCCATGAACTTCTTGAGGTCCTGGTGCAGGAACTCGAAGACCAGGTAGAGCTTGTTCTCCGTGTGGATCACGTCCAGCAGCCTGGAGGGGGGAATGGAGCAGGCGTGGGGTGCCCCATGGCCATGGGGGGGGCTCACACCCATAGATGTCCCCTCCATAGCCCCATGGGTGTCCCCCCAGCCCCATAGAGATCCCCTCCTTAGCCCTGCAGGTGTTCCCCCCCTGCCCCATGGTTGTCCTCCCACCCTCATCAGTGTCTCCCCCCTATCCCCATGGATGTCCCCCCATCACCATGAATGTCCCAACCCCCCATAGACGTCCTCCTCTCGGCCCCATGGACGCCCTCCCAGACCCATGCTCATCCCCCCCCATCTCCCCGCACCCCCGTGCCCTCCCCACAGCTTCCAACTGCACCCAAGCCAACCCCCATCACCCCCCCATCCCTTATGGGGTGCCCCCCATCGCTCACTTGACGATGTTGGGGTGATTGAGCTCCTTCAGCAGTGAGATCTCCCGGATCGCGGTGCTGGGGACCCCCTCGGTCTCCCTGGGACGGGGAGGGGGGGGGCACAAAGCGGCTGAACCCCATCCCCATAGACCCCCCTGAACCCCCCCATCCCTATAGACCCCCCTGGACCCCCCCATCCCCATAGACCCCTCATCCCCATAGACCCCTCATCCCCACAGACCCCCCTGGACCCCCCCATCCCCATAGACCCCTCATCCCCACAGACCCCCCTGAACCCCCCATCCCCATAGACACCCTCATCCCCATAGACCCCCTATCCCCATAGGCCCCCCATCCTCATAGATCCCCCATCCCATAGACCCCCCATCCCCATAGACCCCCATCCCATAGACCCCCCCATCCCCATAGAACCCCCAGCCCCATAACCCCTCCATCCCCATAGACCCCCCCACATCCCCATAACCCCCCCTATTCCCATAGACCCCCCCCACCCCATAGACCCCCATCCCCGTAGAGCCCCCCCATCCCCATAGCCACCTCCATCCCCATAGACCCCCAACCCACAGCCCCCCCCATCCCCATAGACACCCCCCCCCCAGCCCCCCACTCACGTATCCAACCGGATCTTCTTGAGCGCCACCACCTCCCCCGTCACCTTGTTCCGGGCCTTGTACACGACCCCGTACGTGCCCTCCCCGATCTTCTCCACCTTCTGGAAGTTCTCCATGGGGGGGGCACCTCTGGGGCCCTATGGGGTCCCTATGGGGTCCTATGGGGCCCTATGGGGCCTACGGGGTCCTCTGACGGGGGGGGGTCCCTATGGAACGATCGCAGCCGCCGCTTCCCCCCCCCCGGCCACGGAACAATGTTTCGGCGGGTCCCGCTCCCGGCCCCGCCCCGCGCGCACGCTTCCCGCCTTCCGCCGGCCGCGCTCCCATTGGCCCGGCTCTCCGTGACGTCAGGGAGGCGCGGGAGAATTGTTAAAGGGGCAATTGAGGTCCCATAGAGGAGCCTTGGTCCTGCGATGGGAACGGGACCCACCAATGGGGGGGGGGGGGTAACGGGTACCGGATGGGGGGTCCGGCATCGCTATGGGGGGAAAGGGGGCGGTTGGGGGCTTTAAGGGTCCCACATAAAGGGGAGGAGCACCGGGATCTGAGCCCCCCCAAAGCGGGAATAATGGGGACTGTGGGTGCATGGGGGGTCCCCACTGTGTGTCCAAGCCAGACCCATGGGCATGGGGCCACCATGAGGGTGCTGGGGATGGGGGGGGGGGGAGCAGCACCCCCTATCCCCACCCCATTAGCAGGGGGTGCCTCTGTGTCCCTAAAGCACCCCACGGCCCCCCGAACCCCCCCAGGGCACAGCCGGAGCGTGTGACCGGGGCTGACCACGCGTGCTCGCACGTGTCCCCCACGTAACACAGGGTGGGGGGAGCTCCCTGGGGTGCCCCCCCCTTTTTGGGGTGGGATTTATGCAAACGAGAGCCCCTTCATAACCCCCGGCCCCGCAGCGGAGCCCCGGCGGTGCCCAACGAGGGGGGACGCTAGGACCATGCGGGTGCTCGGGGCGGCCGCGGTGCTGGGGACCCTCCTGGTCCTGGCTGTGGCTCAGAGGAGTAAGTGGGGTTCAATGGGGGGGGTCATTGATGGAGGGGGGGGGTCATTGATGGAGGGGGGGGGTAACAGGACGGAGGGGTGCACCCCCAGCCTGGCAATGCAGCCGTCAGGATGGTCCTGGCCGAGGATGGAGCTCACAGCATCCAAGCACCCCGGGTTGGGAGTGGGAGCAGGATTAGACCCCGCTGATCCCTTTGGGGGCCATGGGGGGGGGGGGTGTCATTGTGGGGTCCCCGATCCTCTGCAGGACGTGGGGGGAACCTACAGCGCTTTGGGAAGAGGGTTTGGGGGTCCCCATCGCTATGGGGGGGGGGGGGGGGCACCACCGTGCTCGCTGTCCCCGTCCATCAATGACTGTGGGGCACGGGGGGGCTCAGCTCCCCCCAGCCCGCGGCACCGGCTCAGCTGAGAGTCACATGAAGAGGCTTTGGGCAGCGCTCGGTGCCATGTGATGGGCTCTGCCCCACTCGTGGCCCATCACGAGGTGCGAGGGGGGGGTCCCTGCGGCCAGGAATGGGGGGGTCCCAATGGTGGATGGAGGGGGGGGGGCACAAACGGGGCTGTCCTCACCCCTTGTCCCCGCAGGAGCCGGTGGCCGGAGCCGGCCCTGGAGCGGGCGCCCGGCGCCGTTCCGGAGCTGGGACTCGGTGCGGTACCGGCCCTGGCAGGAGGGAGCCCCGCGGCAGCCGGGCTGCTGGAGAGGTGGGTACCGGGGTACCGGGGTACCGGGGAGGGCGACGGAGCCGGGGCTGGGCCCGGTGCTGAGCCTGAGCCTGAGCCCCACTCCCTGTGCAGGCGGCGACGTCGCCTTCGACATCAGCAACGATGCTCCCACCATGGCGGGCGCTGAGGCCACCTTCTCCATCGCCCTGCGCCTGCCCAGCACCCAGGAGCTGCGGCCCGACGGCAGCGTGGTCTGGAGCCAGAACTGCACCGTCAACGGTCGGCACCCAGCGGAGGCCACAGGGCACCCCCAAACACCCCCCAACACCCCTGAAACACCCCCAAACACCCTAAAACCCTCCCAAAACACCCCTGAAACACCCCCCAAACACTCCAGAACACCCCTGAAACACACCCAAAACCCTCCCAAAACACCACAAAACCCTCCTCAAACACTCCCAAAACACCCCCAAAACCCTCCCCAAACACTCCCAAAACCCTCCCCAAACCCTACCAAAACACCCCCAAAACACTCCCAAAACCCTCCCCAAACACTCCCCAAACACTCCCACAACCCTCCCCAAACCCTCCCAAAACACCCCCAAAACACACCAAAACCCTCCTCAAACCCTCCCAAAACACCCCCAAAACACCACAAAACTCTCCTCAAACACTCCCAAAACACTCCCAAAACACCCCCAAAACCCTCCCCAAACCCTCCAAAAACACCCCAAAACATCCCCAAAATCCTCCCCAAACCCTACCAAAACACCCCCAAAACACCCCAAAACACCCCCAAAACACCCCAAAACCATCCCCAAACCTTCCCAAAACACCCCTGAAAAACCCCCCAAACTCCCCCAAACCCTCCTAAACCTTTCCAACCCCCTCCCATCTCCCCTAAGCCCACCAAAACCCTCCCAAACCACCCCAAAACCTTCCCACCGCCCCCATAACCCTCCCCTCTGCTCCCGCAGGCACCCGCGTGGCCCGCGGGGACCCGGTGTTCCCGGACCCCCCCGATGAAGCCAACGGCGTCTTCCCCGACGGGCGCCCGTTCCCCGCAGGCGGCAAGCGCGGGAGATTCGTCTACGTGTGGTGGACGTGGGGTGAGACCCCCAACCACCGCCCCCCAGCACCCATTGAGGGGGTCCTGAGGCTCAATCCTGACCCCCCCATCCCATCCCATAGGGCGCTACTGGCAGGTTGTGGATGGAGCCACGTCCCAGCTCACGGTGGGCACGGCCGGGGTGCCCCTGGGCTCCTACACCATGGAGGTCGTTGTCTACCACTACCGTGGCCGCCAGAAGTTCATCCCCATCGGCCGTGCCAGCTCCCAGTTCAGCATCACTGGTGGGTACTGGGAGGGGGACTGGGATGGGACCCCCAATGGGGATGGGGATAGGACCCCCAGTGGGGACGGGAATGGGACCCCCAATGAGGATGAGGATGGGACCCCCAATGGGGATGGGGATGGGATGCCCAATGGGGACAGGGATGGGACCCCAATGGGTGCGGGTGAGCTGATGGTGTCCCCATTTGTGTGTGTCCCCCCCCAGACCAGGTCCCGTTCGCGGTGGACGTGGCGCAGGTCCCCGGTGCCGTGGATGGCGCCGGGCGCTACGTGCGGAACCGCGCCGTGGCCTTCACCGTGCGGCTGCACGACCCCAGCCGCTTCCTGCGCGACGCCGACGTCTCCTACTCCTGGGACTTCGGGGACGGGAGCGGGACCCTCATCTCCCGCAGCGCCACCGTCACCCACACGTACCTGGAGGCCGGCTCCTTCGCCGCCCGCATGGTGCTGCAGGCTGCCATCCCCCTGAGCCCCTGCGGCACCTCCGCGGCGCCCGTCGTGGGCCCCACCACCGGCGCATCACCGACAGCCCCGCTCCCCACCACGCCGGGGGTGCCCAGCACTGGTAAGGGGGCAGCAGCCCCCATCCCATCGCCATGGGTACCAGGGGGGTCTCCCCATCGTCACTCTCTGCCCATAGCACCGGCAGCATCCGGCTCACCCACGGGGGGATCGGCAGCCGTCACCGTGCCCTCGGACACCGCTGTTACCGTGCCTTTGGATCCAACCATCACTGGTGCCTTGGACCCTGTTGTCACTGATGCCGCGGATGCTGCTGCCACTGGTGCCTTGGACCCCGTCATCACTGATGCCTTGGACCCCGCTGTCACCGATGCCTTGGATGCTGCTGTCACTGAGCCCGTCCTCGTGGCACTCAGCACCCCGGCAGCTGCTGCTGCGGGTACCGGTCCCGCTGCCACTGTGGTCCCCGTGCTCCCCACCTCGGTGGCCCCGGCTGGGGATGCTCTGGGCACTGCAGCCGCTGTAGACACAGAGGGAATGGTGGCTACAGGTGGGTACTGGGGGGTCCGGGGGGGGTGTCCCAGCTCCTTTTGCCTCTTCCTTACCATTGGCTTCTCCTGCAGGCGCAGCCATGGCTGTATCCGTGGCTGTAGCCACAGTTGGAGCCACGGATGGAACCACGGATGGAGCCACTGTTGGAGCCATGGATGGAGCCATGGATGGAGCCACAGCCGTGTCCATGGCTGAAGCCACGGACGCAGCCACGGATACAGCCACGGATGCAGCCACGGATGCAGCCGTGGTTGGAGCCACAGACGCAGCCACGGATACAGCCACAGATGCAGCCACGGATGCAGCCACAGACGCAGCCACGGATACAGCCACAGACGCAGCCGTGGTTGGAGCCACAGCTGGAGCCACGGATGCAGCCACGGCAGAGCCGCTGGTGCTGGTGAAGCGCCAGGCACCGGCCGCCGAAGCCACCGGCTGCATCCTGTACCGCTACGGCACCTTCTCCACGCAGCTCGACATCGTCCGTGAGTGCGGGACGGGGGGCGCCGGTGGGGACCGGAGCGGGGCGGTGGGGAGGGGGGGATCCGCGCCCGCCCTGACCCCGCACCCGTTGCAGAGGGCATCGAGAGCGTCTCCATCGTGCAGGTGGTGCCGGTGGCGGCAGAGGGCGGCGAGAGCAGCGTGGAGCTGACGGTGACGTGCGAGGGGAGGTGAGGGCCGGCGGGGACGCGACGGGACGGGGATGGGCACAGGGACGGGAGCGGGGACCCCGGCGGGGACAGGAACAGGGACGGGAGCGGGGACCCGGCGGGGATGGGGATGGGAGCGGGGACGGGACGGGACGGGAGCGGGGGTCCGGCGCTGTTGGAACTGCGATGGGGATGGGAGCGGAGTCCCGGCGGGGACTGGGGCGGGGATGGGAGAGGGTGCCCGGAGGGGACGGGAACGGGAATGGGAGCGGGGAACCAGACGGTAACGGGAATGGGAGCGGGGGCCCGGCGAGGATGGGGATAGGAGCGGGGTCCCGGTGGGGACGGGAACGGGAATGGGAGCGGGGAACCCGATGGGGATAGGGATGGGAGCGGGGTCCTGGACGGGAACGGGAATGGGAGCGGGGAACCCGATGGATGGGGATGGGAGCGGGGTCCCGGTGTGGAAGCGGACGGAGCGGGGCCCGGCAGGGGCTGACCCCCGCCCGCAGCCGCCCCGAGCAGGTCTGCACCGTGGTGGCGGACGCCGAGTGCCGGGAGGCGGCGGCGGCTCAGACGTGCTCGGCCGTGGAGCCGGGCCCCGGGTGCCAGCTCCTCCTGCGCCAGGACTTCAACGGCTCCGGGCTCTTCTGCCTCAACGTGTCCCTGGCGGCCGGCGGCAGCCTCGCCGTGGCCAGCACCCGGCTCAGCGTCGGAGGTGGAGGTGGGATGGGAGGGGGGGAATCCATTGGGATTGGAAGGGGATGCGGTGGGATGGGGGGGGGGGGGGGGCAGAATCTGGTGGGACTGGGGGGGTTCTGGTTGTAAAGGGGGAGGAAAGGGGGTATCCGGTGGGATGGGGATGGGAATCTGGTGGGATGGGAGGGCGGAATCCAGTGGGATTGGAAGGGGATGCGGTGGGATTGGGGGGGGGATCCGGTGGGATTGGGATCTGGGGGGATGGGGGGGATCCACTGGGTTCAGGGGGGATCCAATGGGACGGGGGTACTGAGGTGCCTCTCTCCACAGGCACTGCCCCGGCTGCCGGCGCAACTACGCTCATCGTTGTGGGGCTGGTGCTCATCGGGGCTGCCCTGGGCACCGCAGCCTGCGCCTACCAGTGAGCATGGGGGGGGCGCCATGGGGGACATCGCCGCATGGGGGGCACTCTAGTGGTGGGGGGCACTCCATGGGGGAGGGACTCTGGAATGGGGGCACCACGGCAAGTGGGGGGCACCATGGACACACACACACACACGGGGGGTGACAGAGAGTGTGGGAGGACATGGGGGTAGGGAGACACATGGCATGGGGGGGCACCATGGCAGGGGCCGGTGGCAAGGGGGGGACATGGAGCATGGGGTGGAGACCATGGCATGGGGGGGTCGCTGTGACATGGGGGGGTGACATGGGAGGGGTGGTGACATGGGGGGGGGACATGGGGGGGTCGCTGTGACATGGGGGGGGTCGCACATGGAGGGGTCGCTGTGACATGGGGGGGGGTCACTGTGACATGGGGGGGTCGCTGTGACATGGGGGCGGTCACTGTGACATGGGGGGGTCGCTGTGACATGGGGGGTGGCTGTGACATGGGGGGGGTCGCTGTGACATGGAGGGGTCGCTGTGACATGGGGGGGGTCACTGTGACATGGGGGGGTCGCTGTGACATGGGGGGGGTCGCTGTGACATGGGGGGGTCGCTGTGACATGGGGGGGTGGCTGGGAGACATGGAGGGGGTCGCTGTGACATGGGGGGGGTCGCTGTGACATGGGAGGGGTCGCTGTGACATGGGGGGGTCGCTGTGACATGGGGGAGGTCACTGTGACATGGGGGAGGTCGCTGTGACATGTGGGGGGGTCGCTGTGACATGGGGGGGTGTCGCTGTGACATGGGGGTGTCGCTGTGACATGGGGGTGTCGCTGTGACATGGGGGGGTCGCTGTGACATGGGGGGGTCGCTGTGACCACGGCACCAGGGGAACACCAGGACCCTTCCCTGCAGGCGCGTTCAGTACCACCCACTGCCGCCCGCGGCCCCCCCGGCCCCCCGGCCCCGGGGCTGGCTCCCCCCAGGCTCTGCCCTGCGCCTGCTCCTGCGCCGGGCGCTGGGAGGGGGGGACCTGGGAGGGGCCCCCAGCAGCGAGAGCAGCCCCTTGCTCCATGGGAACCCTGCCTAGAGCCCCCCCACCCCGACCTGGGGGGGGGCTGGGGGGCACGGTGGTGGCGATGGGGGGGGTACGGTGGCCCCAGTCTCGCTGCCATCACCATTAAAGGCTCAGCTCAGCCGGTGCCTCCGCCTGGTTTTGGGTCTGGGGGGGCCCCATTGACACAACCGGTGCCCATCACCATCAGCTTTATTACTGCGAAAGGCACTGAAATGGGGGGGTAATAAATGGAGGGGGTAATAAGTTGGGGGGCATAATAAATAGGGGGGTCCCAGCCACCGCACACACATGGGGGGCCTGGCAGAGCCCCCCAGCACCCTCATATGGCATCCGCAGGCTCTGGGTGTGGTGGGACACACATGGATTGGGAGGGGGTTGGTCCTTGACACCCGCCCCCCCCCGGCTCCCTCAAGCCTCTGGGGTCCCCTTCTTGATGCCAAAGAAGCCGGAGGAGCGGGATGGGGGGGCCATGAGCATCAGCGCCTGGTTCTTGTGGGTGATCTTGATCTGCAAGGCAAAGACTGGGGGGGTCCGGGGGGGGCACCCCACAACCCCCCCATACACACACGCGGCTGGGGGGGGGTGTTTGGTCCACGTACGGTGCAGGGCGGCTGCATCCAGGGCTCTCCATCAATCTGCATGGGCAGCGCCTTCGATGTCCTGTGGAGAGCCCCCAACATCCATCACCCCCCCACCCCTCGGAGGGCCCCATCGGGCCCCCCCCTCCCCGGCCCCACTGACCGCAGGGTGAGCTCGGAGCACGTCGCCAGCCGCTTCCCAGCGCTCTTGAGCCCCGCGTAGATCTGCCCCATGTCCAGGACCCCGTCCAGCCCCACCACCTCCAGCCGCCGGTCGCTCAGGTCTAAAGCGGGGGGGGGGAACCCCAAAACCAGAGCGAAATAGGCAGGGAGGGGGGGGGAGCAACGGTGAGGGGGGGCAGGAAGGGTAAAGGGGGACCCCCACGTACCCTGCACGCAGGTCTTGAGGGTCTCGGTGTCGGTGATGGCCGGGGGGGGCGCGGTGCCTGTCGCGGGCCCCCCCGCTCCCCGCTTGGTCTCGCCCCAGAGGTTGGAGCCGCCGTGGGTGCTGGGGATGTTGAGCACCGCCAGCCCCTCCAGCGCCGCGCTCAGCTCCAGCGGGGTCCCGCAGCACTGGGGGGGGGGGGGGGGGAATAGGGACAGGAATGGGGGGAGCAGCGCAATCCCGGGGGAACGGGGGGGGAAACACCCCAAAAACACCCGAAAACACCGCAAAACCACTCAAAACCAGCCCAGAACACCCCAAAACAGCCCTAAAACAGCCCTAAACCCACCCCAAAACCCTCCCAAAACCACACCCCAAACCCAACCCCAGAAACATCCCCAAACACCCGAAAACACCCAAAACCACTCAAAACCAGCCCAGAACACCCCAAAACAGCCCTAAAACCACCCCAAACCCTCTCAAAACCACACCACAAACCCAAACCCAGAAACATCCCCAAACAGCGGAAAACACCCCAAAACCACTCAAAACCAGCCCAGAACACCCCAAAACAGCCCTAAACCAGCCCTAAAACCACCCCAAACCCTCCCAAAACCACACCCCAAACCCAACCCCAGAAACATCCCCAAACAGCCGAAAACACCCCAAAACCACTCAAAACCAGCCCCAGAACACCCCAAAGCAGCCCTAAACCAGCCCTAAACCCATCCCAAAACCTCGCAAAACAGCTCTAAAACATCCCCCAAACCTCCCTAAACCACCCTCAAACACCCCCCAAAACCGCCCCAAACCCACCCCCAAACACACCGTAAACCACCCAAACCTACCCCAGAACCATTCCAAAACCACCAGCACAACCCCCCCAAAACACCTCGGAACCACCCCAAAAACCACCCCTAAACCCCCCCAAAGCCCCCCTCACCTCCACGCTCACGCACTCCTTGAGCCTCTTGCAGCTGGCGAAGATGGACTCGGAGGTGGCGAATTCCAGGTACCAGAGCTTGTTCTTCATCCTGGGGGGCAACGGGATGGGGGGGCAGGGATGGGATGGGGGGGGAGGCAGGAATGGGATGGGGGGGGCAGGAATGGGATGGGGGGCAGGAATAGGATGGGGGGAGGGAGGAATGGGATGGGGGGCCACAGGGTGGTCCCATCCCCTGTACCTGCTGTTGAACTTCTCCGGGTGCCTCTCCCGCATGACGTGGAAGCGATGGGCGATGGAGGCGTCCTGGGGGGGACAGGGGGTGAAGGATGTTCTAGGGGTGCTTTTGGGGTGTTTTGGGATGTTTTCGAGGTGGTTTTTTTGTGTTTTCAGGGTGTTTTTAGGGGTGGTTTTTTGTTTTTTTTTTGGTGGTTTAGGGGTGTTTTTAGGGTGGTTTTGGGGGTACTTTAGGGATGTTTGGGTGTTTTTTTGTGTTTTAGGGGTGTTTTCAGGGTGTTTTGGGGGGCATTTTAGGGATGGTTTAGGGTGTTTTGCGGAGTGTTTTGGGGTATTTTTAGGGTGTTTTGGGGCTGTTTTGAGGCTGTTTTGCGGTGTTTTGGGGCTGTTTTGCGGTGTTTTGGGGCTGTTCTGCGGTGTTTTGGGGCTGTTCTGCGGTGTTTTCGACGGAGAAGTAGTTGTTGATGATCTCGTAGGGCACCGGGTCCCCCTCG